TTTAGCAACCCATGCTTGCCGTAAAAGACTAATGGGATCGGGTGGTCAGGCTCGCTGACTTGGTTGATGCATGTCATCGATCCCAATTGCGTGGATCGATGCTCATGATGTCAATAACTGGATTATCTGGTCCAGACTCGATTATTTACAGACCGCCGTCATATAGCTGTAATATTGCTGAGTGCGGCGTTAAACAACAAACAAACAAACAAACCAAATGCTGAAGTTAGTAAGCGAAGCATTCAGAGTAGCATACTATTTTGATGTCTGTATCTTGAAAAACGCTGACTGCGGCGTTAAAGTACAAACAAACAAAATAAACAAACCCCGTCAGTATGGCAGTGGAAATGAGCCTAAATGAATGGAATGGACCGGATCAAATAACCACAGAGACATATATAGAGTATATCGTTTAAGGGAGATGAACATGTCCTGTAGCATTGTATACCGTGTGTGGGGCGAGAAAAATGTTCGTGAGAGAGTGCGGCGTTAAACAACAAACAACAACGTCCATCATAAAGGCAGCATATCTGGTAAACCTTCGTTATACAGGATCGCCCTAAACAGGCCCTTCAGCTTCCCATTGATTGGGACCGCCTCCGTGGTCTAGTGGTAGAGCGTCCGCCCGGAAAGCGGAAGGTCCGGGGTTCGATCCCCGGCCGCGTCATACCAAAGGACGTTAAAAGATGGTACTTGTTACCCTGTCTGGCGCTCGGCATTAAGGGGCTAAAACAAGGACTGGTCGGCTAGGCTCGGACCAGTCCTTAGTATACTGGTCAGTAAACTGTGTCTGAGTGGGGTATTCATGTTAAACAGCGGCATGGTATCTCAGTGGGCTACCACTATAAATCGGCATCAGTCTGGACTAGTACAAGCAGCCACACAAACACACACAAATATAAGTGCAATAATCTTGGACGCGACGTTAAACCCAATTTCACCTCACCTCACCCTTTGATTGGACATCGTGTGTCACTCCACCGTCCACGTGTGAAGGTCCATGATATTCAAATATTTCTAAAGAGGATGATTTTTGTGCGATAGAGAGCATCTCCCCATGTACCTCCATCCCTCCATCGCAGTATTCATCGACTTTATGTAGCAGCTGCCGCAGATCTAGATATTCTGCAATAAGAATATTCAAAGAATATTAAGTGATTCAAAATCACAGGGTTTGTTAGTTATTGTTTGTTTGTTTGCTTGTTGTTTAACGCCATGTTGAATAACATTCCAGCTATATGACGACGTCCTGAAAATAACAGACAGGCGCATACAAATCAGCAACGCCCCCCGCCGTCGGGGTAAGATGAAAGTAACGCAATCAGTCAAGTCACCAAGCCTGACCACCCGATCCATTTTTGTCCCCTCACACAAAGAGAAAACGTTTGCTGGGAACTATTGTAACCGGATATCCACATGACGTCGTTCTATTCTATTAAGTTCGTTGGGTAAAGAAGGAACGAGAAGAGTGAGTGAGTATGGTTTTACGTCGCTTTTAGCAATATTCCAGCAATATCACGGCGGGGGACACCAGAAATGGGCTTCACACATTGTACCCATGTCGGGAATCGAACCCGGGTCTTCGGCGTGACGAGCGAACGCTTTAACCACTAGGCTACCCGACCGCCCCAGGAACGACAAGAAAGGACTTAACAAAAATAACATCGATGCTGATTACATGTGCTCAAAGTCCAGGCTTAAAAGACACATCAAATGTTAATCTATTTCAACCAACATGCACCAACATGACACCCCACTGGGATTTGGGGGAAGAATATACAGGCCCCCTTTTTCCTATGCTTGTCGTAGGACCTGGCTAAAAAGCATCGCGGGGTCATGATCATTGACTTGGTTGACTGTGTAACATCGTGTCCAAATAAAAGGCATGAATCGTTGTTCATTTGCCTGGTTTACCTGGCCCATAGTCGATTATATCTTGATCACTTGATATGGCTGGTATATTTGTAACTGTGTGCACAACTACTTGTGCATTGTTCGCTCACGCCAACTTGAGCCCTTTGACGTATGAAAGTCACTCCAGTGTTATATATACTTGCTGTAATGTGTATGTCCTATTCAAGTAAAGCTGTCTACTCCATGGCCAGCCTACACTAGTTATTGATAACACATTCTACGTTCCAGGAAATCTAAACTAGGTTATTGATATGAAACTGACAGGCCTGCAGAATAAAACGTAACAAAACGCAGTTGACATACTTGATAGGCCGGGCATTAGTTATCAATGTAGCGGTATGACTCATTCTCACACATACACTGGCTATTGATCTTGTCCAGTAAGCCTGATGTTTGTCTGGTGACATAAACAGCAGCACAGCGACAATGATCGACCCGTTAGACGTATACAGCTATTTCTCCTTATACCAGGTCATTTATATCGTTGATGATTGCGCACTCAGCTATATTCCAGCTTTTGTATGGCGGCTTGTACATAAGCGAGGACTCTTCACTGCTAGTGTCGCCAATGCTGGTGCTGTGTTGCCCACTGAAGACGGTCCCGGCGATGACGTGGTGACAGAATGGGTCCTCGGTGTGGCCTGTGACAGTGGAGGTGTCTGCTCGTCAATCGTCGACACACGGTGTCCGTACTAATGTGTCGCTGTTGTGTCCCCATGGTCTGTCGAGCAGTTTCCACAGCAGTAACAAAGCGATCTTGAAAATGCTGTCGCACAATCTGACGATCCTGACGTCGGGTGGGGACCCTTGGTCTCCCACTACGTGGTCGGTCATCTGTAGTGTTGCTGGTCTGGTGCCGTTGCTGGAGCCTGCATATGGTCCTTACGTGGACTTGAAACGCATTGGCTACTTCCCGGGCGTTTTGTCCAGCTTGCAATCGTCCAAGGGCTTGGTGTCGCTGATTTCTTGTCAATCTTGGCATGTGGTAGCCATTCAATAACGAATGAATGTTATCCGATCTTGGTGGATTTTTATAGGGCAAGAAATTGGGGAACGCTTGTTCATTTCAATTTGCACGGAACTCATGTGCATCGGGTTACCATGGCCGTTGCCGTGATTCGGTTTTATTGGCATCTGCTTTGTTTTTTTATCATCTAATTTAGTTTTCCCGGACAAGGTAATGTTAAATTTTAGAAACTTTGACAAAAATTACCCAGATATTTAAATGACAGCTTTTCATGCAATGTAACTTGGGGTGATGTTTCTTTTGCGGTTTACTAAATTATGAATATAGTCAGTTTTTTAATCTTTCTCTTTCGGACAATTTCATGTGCAAGTGTAAGCTCTCCAGTCGCAGGGACAAAAGAAGGTTTCAAAATTTGTGAGCCAAACTCGTCATTCTACACACCTACACACACATACGCTCACACTGTCTTCGCTTTACATTTCTCGTCAGTTATGCTCCTCCTTCAGCGATGATGACGTATCTAGCATCTACTTTTTTCAGCTCTTCTTCATACAGTGACTTGAGAAGTAATGTTTCTAATGTGTATGCGTTGGCACTATAAATACCTCAACACACCCGTGTGCATGGTTCTATTGTCCTATGTACGATGGTGATCCTAGAACTGTTTCTCTTTCGAAGTAATGGGACCTTTTTCCTTCCAAAATTAGAGTTCATGATTACCAGAAAATATCCATTTAAAGTCAGATGACCGATCTGTTGGATCTATTTCAGATACGCCGTTTTCATTCAGAGTCAGAGTCTGACCCTTGTATCCCATGCTTATTGTAAGAGCTGACTTATGAAGACCTACAGGACTTGGCTCATTGTATTCACCTAGGGCGTGTATCGTTGCTGATGTTGTCACCCACTTTTTCCACTAAAGACGTTCGGCACATCTGATCAATTGACGTTGATCCCCGTTTATGCAGTCCAAATGCAGTTAATGAGTTTCCTGTTGCAGTATGAAGACAATCATGGAATTAGTTTCATTAAGTGCCCATATTCTAGTGCGTATCAATGTTCAAAATGCCTGACGTCACTAAATTCCAACGCTAAAATACATAAACTGCCTGTTATCCTGTTGTTTTGAGTGTGTTTGAATGCTTGAATTATCCCAGATTAGCAAAGGACAAGTGGGTAATTAAGTGACTTTGGCTTTACACCTCCTTCAGCAACATTCCAGCAATATTCCGACGGGGACACTAGAAATGGGATTTTCACATTTTACACATGTGGGGTAATCGAACCACGGGCCAACAGCGTGATGAATTATTTATTGAAACAGGCAGATATGAAGGTATTGCAAGAGAACATAGACTTTGTAGTATTTGTAAAACTGATTGTATTGAAGATTAATATCACTTTTTATGTGTATGTCCATTGTATAAAGATTTAAGAGCAAAATATCTGAATAACTATTTCTACCGCAACCCAAACGGTAACAAATTTTGTAAATTAATGACTTGTGATTGTACAGAAACTATTAGAAAATCATCAATGTTCATTTATCATGCTATGAAACTAAGAAAATGTATGAATTTGTAACACGCACCAGACAATGTACTGTAGGCCTTTGGCCTCATAAGTACCATGAATAAAGATTGATTGACCCATATATGGGAAGTAAACATATTAACGTGAGGGTACCCAGGACAACAACATCTTACTCCATCAGTTAAAAGCCTCTTCGGAAGATTAATTGAGCCACCAAAAATAAAACAAAAGACAATTTGGCAGATACATAAAAACAAAATATGGTCATTTGTCATTCGTCCAAAAACCTAGCGTCCTCGCGGTTTCTCCTTCTCGTGTTTGACCGCCTCCGTGGAGTAAAGGTAGAGCGTCCGATCAAAAGACCAAAAGACGTTAAAAGATGGTACTTGTTGTTACTCTGTCTGGCGCTCGGCATTAAGGGGCTAAAACAAGGACTGGTCGGCTCGGAGTCAGTATACTGTGTCTGAGTTGGGTATTGATGTTAAACTGCGGCATGGTATCTCAGTGGGCTAGCACTATAAATCGGCATCAGTCCGGACTAGTACAATCAGCCACACAAACACACACACACTCCCATGCACGTCGCTATATAAGTGCAATAATCTTGGACGCGACGTTAAACCCCATTTCACCTCACCTCACCTTCTCGTGTTTTTTGTACATAGCACTTTTAATCAAAAGCCCACAACGCAAGAATGCGACATTTAGACATGGTGTAAAATCTTGCGATCTCGTATTCTCGTGTTTTTGGCATGTTTAAAAGCACGTTTCCAGAGAATGTCAATTACAAAATTCCATAGCAAACATCATCTCCCCAGAAACCAATGAACAAATGAACCTTACATTTCGACCACTAATTTATCTCCTAATTTAACTCGATTATACGTTTGCACACTGTTTTGATGATTGTACATTATTACTAAGGAAACATGATTCAAATAGCTTTCCAGCCACAGAGCAAAATATATATAAATAAGAGAAGTGCATAAGCGTGACACAAGGCAGTGTACATATGTCGATTTCAAAGATATGCATAAACGAATTGTGAGAACAGTTTTCAAAAGTTGGTCATAACAATAAAAGTTGTTAACCGGTGTTTTGTCCCTGTTGACATGTACACGGTACAAAGGCATACATTTATTTTAGCAATATATTTGAACATAATTTCTCAGAGAATGCAATTTATTATCGAAACAAAGCTTAAAATGTTAGCTATTCAATTCATGAGTAAAAATTAGATGCCATTAACAATTGTGAAAAGAAGCGATATAACCCTTTCGACATTCATAAAAAAATATTTAGAAGAGTCGATTGTATGATTCCGACTATATCATGAGCATGTGTTTATGAATCACTATGAAATAGTGATGATACCAGGTGTTTGCGAATAGATCCGCGTATCGGTGATCACCGGTGGCACTCGTCACAGACACAAGCAATGCCAAGTTAACTGTTCACCTAAAACAAACACGGGAACATACATGTATGGTACAAGTCAAAATAGTGACATTGCATCGGACATCATTTTTGTAAATGATGTGTCAAATATCGATATGTCATCCACATGTCGTTGTGAAAGTTTTATTGAGGCCTTGAATGTTGTAACCTTGATCGAACAACGTCGAGAAAGATTCGAATGACGCTCTTTGACATCTTGTTGGAAAGGCGTGCTCGATTTTACCTAAAAAGTTGTGAAATGTAGACATCAGTGATGGAGCTGCTCGACATGAAGGGAAGGGAGAATTGACTAATGGAAAGTTGAACTCATCCCTCTTGTCATACACTCTTGTGGCGAGTGTTTTGTCACTCAGAATCTGTGTGCATACTTATACATATGAAAGAGGTGAGGCGGTCGCATTGGTCTCCTTTATTTCTAGTTCAGGCGGGTAAATCAGTGGAAGGGAATTAACTATTTGATGATTATTTAACTCGCTGTTTGTTGGAATATATTCCTTGCCTTTATGTTATTGTCTGAAGCAGTACTTTTGCAGCAGGTTTCCGAGTAGTTCAGCCCAGCCAGTAACTTCCGAAGGATCTCATCCAAATACCTCTATTCCCCTACATTGCATGTGCTGCAGCCAACAAATTTCGCTATTCCACCCGGTGTGCTCTGACCTTGACCCGAGGTACCAGTAGAAATAAGATCTCTGCCTGTCATGTCAATGGCATTTGTATACATAACCTCCACGTGTACACCATAACAGTCCAGTGACCTGTATGTTAATTTGTTTTTGGTCAAATATATGTTGGTGCATAAATCAAGCTTGAGCAAGTGTGTCTTACAGAAACTGTCTGCATCAGATCCTGAATCTGTCAGAACCAAGGTCACGTAGTGAACACGCTTGGTTACATGTACATCCCCACGTCTGCGATGAGGCTTGCAATAGAAGTCAGCAAAGTAAAGGTTTGCTGAATCATCAAAAACCTCGCTCAGTGGTACTTCTACTCTCGTGTCTCCAAAAGGCGACTTATCTGGGAGAGTACCATCCACAAGTGTTACATTAAAGAAAAGACCTTTCACTTTCCCATTTATTGGACAGCGTGGGTCCCCGCCATTGCTCTTCAGATAAGGTTCCATGATGTTATTATGGTTCTGTCGAATGTCATCAAAATAGGAGGATGGCTTGTTTCGATAGAGAGTAGACACTATATCAGTAGTGCTTTCATTGCAATGTTCCTCAGCTTTGCGCATCAGCTTTTTCAGATATTCTGAAATGGGAAATTTAAAAGCTACAGCATAGTAACATACTGTGCAGTACTGATCATTATGATTAATATGAGATGACATTGATGTTTGTAAATTCAAAACGTCAATGCCAGAGAAAGCCTAAGAAGCATGTTACATTCTTTAATTAGCAGTACGTTCAACTGTCAATATATTTGCGTAATAAATTATTCTCAATTAATTTGTCATGTTGACTAAACATAGGGAGGTAACATTTGAATAAAAATCTTCAAATGAAAGCGTTACTTTAAGTTAGGAATTGTGCCCTTGTGGCCTGTGGGTATCAGTCTAAAGTTAACTATATGTTGAATCACTCCTATATATACTTAGTCAAATTAAAAACTTCACATTTTTAAAAGTAATCCCATATATGATATACAACTGACAAATGTATCAGAGAAGGTAATTTTTAATGATTAATGTCCAAAGAAGGATGTTTATTGCAGTTGCACAACATCTCACCAAAGAAGGCATGTTTATAACAGCTGGACAACATCTAGCCAAAGAAGGCATGTTTATAACAGCTGGACAACATCTAGCAAAAGAAGGTATGTTTTGTACAGTTGCACAACATCTCACCAAACAAGGCATGTTTATAACAGCTGGACAACATCTAGCCAAACAGGGCATGTTTATAACAGCTGGACAACATCTCACCAAACAGGGCATGTTTATAACAGCTGGACAACATCTCACCAAACAGGGCATGTTTATAACAGCTGGACAACATCTCACCACACAAGGCATGTTTATAACAGCTGGACAACATCTAGCCAAACAGGGCATGTTTATAACAGCTGGACAACATCTAGCCAAAGAAGGCATGTTTATAACAGCTGGACAACATCTAGCCGAAGAAGGTATGTTTATTACAGTTGCACAACATCTCACAAACAGGGCATGTTTATAACAGCTGGACAACATCTAGCCAAAGAAGGTATGTTTATTACAGTTGCACAACATCTCACCAAACAAGGCATGTTTATTACAGTTGCACAACATCTCACCAAACAAGGCATGTTTATAACAGCTGGACAACATCTAGCCAAACAGGGCATGTTTATAACAGCTGGACAACATCTAGCAAAAGAAGGTATGTTTTGTACAGTTGCACAACATCTCACCAAACAAGGCATGTTTATTACAGTTGCACAACATCTCACCAAACAAGGCATGTTTATAACAGCTGGACAACATCTAGCCAAACATGGCATGTTTATAACAGCTGGACAACATCTAGCAAAAGAAGGTATGTTTATTACAGTTGCACAACATCTCACCAAACAAGGCATGTTTATTACAGTTGCACAACATCTCACCAAACAAGGCATGTTTATAACAGCTGGACAACATCTAGCCAAACAGGGCATGTTTATAACAGCTGGACAACATCTAGCAAAAGAAGGTATGTTTTGTACAGTTGCACAACATCTCACCAAACAAGGTATGTTTATAACAGCTGGACAACATCTAGCCAAACAGAGCATGTTTATAACAGCTGGACAACATCTAGCCGAGGAGTAATGTTTATTACAGTTGCATAACATCTCACCAAAGAAGGTTCTTTCTGTATAATCTATAGGTGGGGATTACTTTACAATGTTGAGGCGTTCTGATAAGTCTCAACACACCATACATCAATAACTGTTAAGAACACTTTAGTCTCTAAAGAAAGATTATGTTCAACAGATTATTCATTTTTATCACTATGTACAGATTAAAATTTTAAAAAATGCACCAAAGATGGTTTGGGTGATCCAGGCACAGTCAGGCTGGCTAGGCTCTTCATCAGCTCAGGGCCCTTGCCCCCACGACAAGCAGTCCAGACAGCGAATGGGACTGCCTAGTCAAAAGCAACCAGAACTTTTCGGAGAATGTGAAGACTCTCCAACATTGCAGCCTTCTGCAGAAGGCTTGCAGGTTGTCAGAAGGGCTGTGTTCCTGGTAGCAAAACCGGGTACTCTCCCAATGTCAGTCAACAGATTGGGAGATACCTGCACATAAACTCGCTGCAGCGATCGTTCAGATAGCCTCTCCTTGAAAAATTGGGCCCGGGCCGATTTGAGTGAGTGAGTGAGTATGGTTTTACGCCGCTTTTAGCAATATTCCAGCAATATCACGGCGGGGGACACCAGAAATGGGCTTCACACATTGTACCCATGTCGGGAATCGAACCCGGGTCTTCTGCGTGACGAGCGGACGCTTTAACCACTAGGCTACCCGACCGCCCCCGGGCTGATTTGATATGGCACTTCGCTTGGTTGACACTCATTTCTGTACCGTCCAACAGTACAGAACCATCAACAAATCAACACTGACATTGAGATTATGTACTACATCCTTGGCTCGTTTAGGAAATGCCTTGTTTTCATCATGAGTCTTAACATGCTTCACAAAAGGATCGTCAGACAAATGTGTGCAAAAGTGCACAAAACAATTCTATCATAAAGAGCCCCAAACGTTAATCAAACCACGCCCTCCCATTATGATTGGTAAATATAAGCGATTGAGGGATTATTGTTATTATTATTATTATCCGGAAAAAAATTCTGTGTTTAATCTCAAGGACCTAGAAGATTTCAAACTGTGTGAGGCAAGCTGCCTCCGTGTCGCCCTCGTGCAGGTGCATAATGACTAAGTACGAGCGTTAGGCGTTTGAAAATGCATTGACTCCCTGAATGTTCCGGGTTAGTATTGGTCATCAGCAACTGCCTACTTGTGACGAGACGAGCTGGATCGGGTGATCAGATTCGACGATCGCACTATCGATTACTGGATTATCAGATTCTATCATGTTTGGGCTGCCTTCATATACCTAGAATACTGATAAGTGCGGCGATACACACAACACACACACACGCACACATCTATTATCTTTACCTCTCTCGTCATTTATGCTCCTCCCTCTTTCAGCCATTACGATTTGTCACGCTACTACTTTTTCTAGTTCTTCTTCATGCGGTGACTGGACTAGTAATGGCTTTGTGTATATGTTGTATACTATAACTAGATATATACGTGGACCCTAGAACTGTTACTTTCGCTTTCGATTTCGCATTCTAAGTATGAAGTAAGATACCTTTCCTGGACTATTAGAGGTTATGCTTATCTGAACGTATATAAAGTAGGGACATGGCTCCCTAGTATATTTGTCTACACTAGTACATCTGTTCATTCATCTACACCTTTTATGTTCGGTGTAAGGATCAGAACCAGTAGTGTTACAGGGCGTGGCCGATTGTATGTACCTTCAGCGTAGTTCGGTGTTCATGCTGTCACCCACTGTTTCTACTAGAGAAGGGGGCGGTCGGGTAGCCCAATGGTTAAAGCGTTAGCTCGTCACGCCGAAGACCCGGGTTCGATTCCCGACATGGGTACAATGTGTGAAGCCCATTTCTGGTGTCCCCCGCCGTGATATTGCTGGAATATTGCTAAAAGCGGCGTAAAACCTCAATCACTCACTCACTCACTACTAAAGAAGGTCCCATGTAGATACATCGGATAAATCACATTCAAGTGTTCATAATCGTTTCCTGTTGCAGTATGAAGAAAGTATTTGCCATTCAGTATTATTAAGTGGCTTAACGTCTATGTTTATCAAGTGTTCAATATAACTAACTAACCCCTATTTATCAATTATTAATTATTAGTTCATTAACTGCTCTTTTATGCCTAGGTATAATTGCCCTTCGAAAAACAGAATGATAGTGATGTATGAGTTAGCTCCCTTGGTTGATTTTCAATAACCATCATATTCAGATTGACATGTGATGTTTGATGCATTCGCAGTAATGACCTACGTGCTAAGGTAGCTTCATGGGTAACCATTGGCTCCTCAATCCTAGTGAGTGAGTGAGTGGGTTGGGTTAAACCCCGCTTTTAATGGTATTCCAGTTATATCAAGCCGTGTCAGCTTCAATTGGGAAGAAATCCTTAAGTGATGTCTGGCATGTCCTCAACCCGAAAACGAGGACATGTGTCCATCCTAAATGTCCCAGGCAGAATATGACTTGAATAGTGTTAAAAAGAGCTTAAAACCCTATCCTTGGAATCAATCTGCCCGACAAGAAAAATAGAAATTAGTTTTTCATTCTTTATTTTATTAAATAATGAGATAGTGTGTTTTAATTAAAAACAAAACTATATTTACTTGATATATATATCTAAAATCTCAGAGTAATATAAAACTGCATCACAGATCCAAATATACAGTTATACATCCAACCTAATCAGTTTACACAATGTGATATAGTGAGTGAGTGAGTGAGTGAGTGAGTTGGGTTTAACGCCGCTTTTAACAGTATTCCAGTTATATCGCGGCGTGTCAGCTTAAGGTGGGAGGAAAGCCCGAAGTGATGCAGGTCACAGACGTTTACCACTTCGGTGAAACCCACGAGCACGGGTATGGTGCTGACAAACCTAGAAACGCAATTGGGGCGAACCGGGATTCGAACCCCAAATCATAGGTTTCTGGCGTGCCTAAGGGACGAAACTCTGCACAGCGAATCGCGGCGCCTTACACGACTGGGCCAATATCAATATCAATATACACATATTGTATCTTTACCCATATATACATATTAGGCAATAAAGTATAAACGAGGGGAGATAATGCATAATTTTATTTTACATCAGCTTGTGAATCCCAAAAAGGAATCTGATTATCCATTTAATGTAAATAAAAGCGACAAAACCAGTAATCATAGATAATTCTGACATATTGTCAATTCACTCTAGCATCCTTATAACAGGATTGTGATACTTTTGGAAATGGTCTCAATTTTTAATAATCTTAACAACTGAAAAAAATCATTTATAGACGGGGATCGAACCACGGACCTTCAGAATTCCGGGCAGACTTAGTGGTAGCACAGTTGCAGAAGTAATAGTCTGAACTGTAGTTGTAGTCGAAGAATGGATAGTGATGAGGAAGTTGTGGTAGTAGCAACTGTTGCAGCACTGCTATCTTTGAGAAAGCATTGTGTATAACATCATCCGCGAATAGATTATGAATGTCCATCTTTCCTGCAGTATCGAATACAGATTGGTCATGAATTGGCGATTCACTTCTGAAACACATACTCATCTGACCCGTGAGGATCCGGGGTAGAATAGGTCTTCAGCAACCCATGCTTGCCGTAAAAGGCGACTAATGGGATCGGGTGGTCTGGATCGCTGACTTGCTTGATGCATGTCATTGATCCCAATTGCGTGGATCGATGCTCATGATATCAATCACTGGATTGATTGGTCCAGACTCGATTATTTACAGATCGCCGTCATATAGCTGGAATATTGCTGAGTGTGGCGTTAAACAACAAACCAACCAACCAACATACTCATCTTCATTGTCATATTAAACAAAGGGAGCGAGAGTTATGCGATTGAACATAATGTTTTCTTGGTCATTCAAAGTGACATGCATGAAGCAGTATTTCCTTCACTGAAGTAATCACTCACTTTTTTATATCTCGCTGCTCATGTTGTGTATAGGAACCAGTTCCTTTATAAGCTCATTCTCATGATCCCAGGGCTATGGATGCGGCTTTCATTAACACTAAAGTGAATATAACCTTTATCATGTTCCAGCGGACGGGGCGGACGGGGTGTGGCTGGGGGGTAACGACATCATGGCGGAAGGTCTGTGGGTGTGGGACAAGTCAGAGACATCTATTCAATACTTCGACTGGGGGAGCGGACAACCGGATGACAGTGGCAGCAAACAGAACTGCATGAGCCTATGGAAACACTTCGCCTTCAAATGGGCCGATCATTATTGCACTCATCAGCTTGCTTTTTTGTGTGAACAACCATAAGAATAAGATTATTGCTCTAAATAGCTAATGAATCATAGATAAAGAAAAGGTGATATATTTTTGCAGTGACAAAAAACGTAAGGCAATGTTTAATTTCCATAAGCACGTTTTCTGTGTTTGCAATATTCTGTAACACCAAACGAGTAATCATTTCATGTAAATGTGTACAAGTAAAACAACACGATTAATCTCATCTTATCAACAATAACTTAAAGCTGGTCAAATTGTCAGACCAAATAGGAAATGCAAATACGGTTCATGATCACAATTGACAACAAAAGACTTTCTTTTCACAGAGCAATATAGAATGGAGACGTCACATGCGGAATTATTCACCGAATCACCGTCTTCTGTGTGTGTAAACAACATGCGTATGTTAGATTGTGAGACTGAAATAAATATCTGCAAAAAATGATGTTGTTTTCAAGTTTGTCATTTAAAAATCACAGGGAAAGCATTCACGGTAGAAGGATTTCCAAGTCTTGTATCACTTGTCGATGTTGTGTTTGTTTGTTACCCTCAGCAATATGCCACCTTCATGACTACGATCTGTAAATAATCGAGCCTGAACCAGACAATCCGGTGATCGACATTATGAGTATCAATCGACACAACTGATGTATATATAACTGTATCAATGATAATACAAATTATTGGCATATACGATGAGCCACGACGCACAGGTCGGATTGCCCAGGAAAGTCATACATTGTTATGATCCCGTTTTCAATCTGCCCCTACGACTAGCCGGAGACACGTGTAATCCATAGCCTTACGAAATAATACGTAGAGGAAACAACTGTCTACTATAAAACGCTGGATGACAGAAGGGTGTGTCTTATTTCGGCTGAACAACGCTTGAAAGATAGGAAAATTCATTTTATGCTTTCATGTGTGTTCATATCCAGATTTGATTCTCCACATAACACAGATTTGTTGATTGGCAGTTTTGTCGTATGCGGCGCTATGGACTTTCCAAGATAGTTTTACTTCCGAATTGGCGCCATGTGATAAGTGAAAAAAACCGAAACGATTTTATCATAATCACGATGACCTGCATAGGAAGCGATAGCGGCTTAGTTATAGAAACACGTGTTTTTTTCTCACTGAAACTGATCACGTCACTCTTTATAAGAAGAACTAACGACACCTAACTTCGCCATTGAGCTCGACGTTAAACAATGAACAACACTGGACTATCCCTAGACTTCAGTGCTCTCGGAGCAACAAGTGAGTCTGCGTATGATACTACTACTACTACTACTACTACTACTACTACTACTACTACTACTACTACTACTACTACTACTACTAATAATAATAATAATAAGAAGAATAACAACAGTACTTCTTATTCTCATACTTCCCTTGATTGTCTGGATGTGCAGGCTCCCTCCCTCCCTCGACACCCCCTCCCACTCACTATTCTGGGGCTGCATGTAGGCCTTGATGTGTAGGTTCTCTCCTGCACATCAATGGGCCGATCATTATTGCACCGATAAGCTTGCATTCCTCTGTGAACAGCCGTAAAACTATTGAGATTGTTGTTCTAACTAAGCTAATGCATCATAGAAAAGGAATAAGTTATTCTTTTGCAGTGTCAAAAATGTAATGCAATGTTTACATTTTCATAACGATGTTTTTTTCAATTTGCGATATACTAAAATAGTAACTACGTAATCATTTTATGTAAATGTGTACAAGCAAACGACATACTTAATCTCATCTAATTAACAATAGTTGACAGTGGGAAATATTGTCAGATATTGAAGAAGATGCCCAAATGGAGCACTGTCCCTTTTTTACATAAACCCTATATTTTACAGAGCAAAATAGACCAGAGAGGTCAAGTGTGGAATTCTTCATCAGATACCGTCTACTATGTGGATAAACAACACGTCTAGATCTGAATGTAAACAACAGGTCAAGTTAAACGAAGGCAGGGACTAGGTGGTGTTTCCCAGAGTGAGTGAGTGAGTGAGTATGGTTTTACGCCGCTTTTAGCAATATTCCAGCAATATCACGGCGGGGGACACCAGAAATGGGCTTCACACATTGTACCCATGTCGGGATTCGAACCCGGGTCTTCGGCGTGACGAGCGAATGCTTTAACCACTAGGCTACCCGACCGCCCCGGTGTTTCCCAGAAGCAATGATTACACGAAGCTGGTATTAAGTATTCTCCGATGCGTCGAACAGCCTTGGAGAAAGCCTCCTGTACACCATGGCATGGACTACGCGATAGTAGAACTCTCCCTTCCTCGTGCGTCAATCTGAAGTGATGCAGGCCTCAGACGTTTCAGTTCCGTGATACCAACGTGCACGGGTATGGTGCTGACAACATAATCAGGACAAACCTGGATTCGAAGCCACGCTCATGGGTTGCTGGCACTCGTTTCTGCATCACTTTCCTCTCACATCACGAATGCATTGATACACATTCACCGACTACATTCATCGACGACGGCAATAAACCCCATTGTGTTAATACCCTATAGTGTGGCCCCTGGAAACGTACATGCAATACGTTCCCTATTTTGACTTAAAAATGAGTTCCCGTGTTTGCTCATGTAAACGCTTGGTTTGCCTTTGCATGTGGTTGTGACCGAGGCCCTCGGTGGTTTAAGGTTCATGTGCTTCTCGTTAACGCCGGGTGTCATCACTATTTGATGATGATTCATAAACACATGCTTAATAGTCCGAATCGTACAATAAATTTTAGCAGAGATTAATATTGGTTATGCAAAGGTGTTTTTACTGACTGCTTCTGACAAATCTTCTAACGATAGATATATAAATACAACAAAATGCTGTGTTATGTTCGTCACACACTCGAGAAAGTTATAGCGATGTTGAATTTGATAAAGAGAAGACATGAGTTGGCCACACTGTTAATTTATGATAACTATACACATTTTCCTGATGTATGATAACATAACCGTCACAATAACCTTGCCCACAAACAAATAATAAGCAGTCAGTTCACGCTTCAGGCTAATACAGCGTTATGGTACAGTTGTACATGGTCAGCATGTCATGATTTTACGGCCTCTTCCGTTTTTCTGCCACAAGTATAAGAATGGAAAGTTGATTACTGATGAGATGACCAGATGATATGCTGATGCCTATTACAAACAAACATAGACCTGATGAAGAACATTTAACGAAAAGCTACCAGATACTACCAATTGCAATGCAAATCACATGCACGTTCAATAGATAAAATGATAACATTCCGAATGAATCAAAATATCCCCGTTTATAAACGGATTAACTTGTTAGTCTAGGTATGAGTAATGGTTTAATGTTGATGCCACATCAACATTCCCCTGTCGCCGTGGCAGAAGAATACACTCGTTAACTTTCGGTGTGGATTTCGCGGGTTCGAATCGGCGACATACGTGTTTCGTGAAATTGTTCAATTATCAAGGTAGATATAGCTGGGGAAAGGCTTCGTTATTTCCGAGTGCTGTTTAACAAAAAAACTCACGGACATAATAAACTTCACCTAAAATATTTTTTGAATATATTTTCAACCAATGTCAAAATTCTTTTTAATATAAGTTAAAATATATCGCCTAAACGCAACTTATTCATTCCTAACATTGACATGCGTAAAATGAACGTGCTGGATGTGAAAATGCCCCATTATTGCTCGGAAAAATTTATATCCAATTTATATACCGGGTTTATACCCAATATATATACATGTAGTCATGTTCAATGAACTAAATAGTACCTGTGCGTTTCATTTTTTGAAGAGTGTATATTATTAATTCTACCATGTGTGTAATCACATAATGTGTAGACAATTTATCAGTTAACATTTGAACCCACTTCTTTTACTAAACACTAGAAAGAAATAATTGGTGAATCAGGTTGAAGACATCGTGAATCTACCAGCTGCATGGACACATTCATAGTTTACAGTATAACTAGTTCAGTCATAGTAACACTAATGCGAATGTAACCATGTCAGTCACTTGAAGGTGTATGAAGGCAGGATAGAAAATCTGAAGAGGTGGTACAATTGTTACCTTTTGTTAATTGACGTGGACCACAGCTGTTACAACAGTTCAAGTCTATTTCTGAGTGATATTATGAGAGTGTGTACATCAGAATTAATAAATAGAGGATATTTCGTGTGTTGAGTGAAATGTCATCTTTCTCTTATCGAGTGAATGGGGAAAAGGATATATTTCTCTCGCGAAAATACCAGCTTTCCCCCGTCACGAAATGAGAGAAACATGATATTTCACTCGACACATGGAATGCCACCGGAAAATATTTTTTTAATTACAAATGTAAAACCTTAAAACGTAAATACTCCCTACCTAACACGCAGGGACGTTTTACTAGCCCCTGTAATTGCGACCTAAAAGTAGTTTGCAAATTCTTAACCAATATAAACAAAAGTAATAACACATATATGAGGTCAGTAAAATTCTTTATCATACATTTGAGAGATGATTATATAGAAAAGCAACTTATATATATTATATATATAAGTTGCTTTTCTATATAATCATATATATATATTTGGATACACTTTCCTTATATCATTTTGCAACTCTGAGTTTCACGCACCCATGTTATTGCGTACGATCATCAGGCATAATGAAACCTGGTTTTTAGTTTGACCTTTTCTTTTTTGCTCGGGTTATGGGTTTACCATGGCGACAGGTGGACATGAGCTCGCTTCTTTTGTTTAGCTTGTTGGATGTTAGCATGAGAATCTCGAGCTTCTCAGAATTCATTCAGAATTGAGAAATATGAAAAAGAGACAGAACTCCCCAAGCACATCTGGAAGTTAAAACGAAACAAAACCAATTACAAAATCAAATGGGACATAATCAAGAATTCAAACACCAACAAAAGAGACTCAGGGATTTGCAATCTATGCATGGAAGAGAAGCTCGAGATGCTAACAGTGAAATATGAAGTGTTATGTTCACAGCAGTAAAAATATCCCTTTTCCCAACTTCATACAATAAAATGATCTATCCATGGTATTTTAGCAGAATGTAACAGGCCAAGGCAAGTCTGACAATGCACATTGTGTTGAACGTTGAATGAGAAGGCACTTTGATGGGCACGTTGGCTTTACATATGACATTGTGGGACATCATAAAGTGGTATTAGTGCTGATATCATTATGGTATTCTGCTAATGAACACAATATCAGTTTTTATATTAAAAACTTCGTAAAAAAGAGTGGGTATTTCAGTTATATCCGTCGTGTCAGCTTAATATTGAAGGAAAACCGCAGTGATGCAGAGCCAAGACGTTTGATGGAACTTACGATGACGGGTGAGGTCCTGACAAACCAAGAGTCACATTCAGCGAGAACCTGGATTCGAACCCATACATACTATTCCATGCTTGAGTCATATACACCTGATAGACATACATTGAATATGTGAAATATTCTACATAAATAAGGAAGCAACGTCCTGGTTCTTGGCATTTGAGAGAGACGGTTAAAGTCAGCTCCCTCCCCTCAGATACTTTTGTGGACACAGGTGTTAATTACAAGAAAAAAAACTACAATTTGCGTTATTGAATGAAGATTGAAGATTCGTAAAAGCCGTAAAAGGTGACTATGCTTGTCGTAAGAGGAGACTAATTGGATCTGGGGGTCGGGCTCGCTGACTTGGTTGATGCATGTCATCGTATCCCAATTGCGTGGATCGATACTCATGATGTCAATCACTGGATTGTCTGGTCCAGACTCGATTATTTACAGGCCGCCGCCGTCATAGAGCTGGATTTGTGCTGAGTGCGGTGTTAAACAACAAACAAACAAACAAACAAAATGAGAGCAAGCACTGTGTCGGGTGTGACAGGTGCGTACAACAGTGAGGTGACATGAGAAAATATACCACTGTAGTTAATATTACTTACAAAATGTCAAAACAAAAGTGCGCTTCTCAAGATGTGTCCATTTTCGTAGCGATATACATCGCTATTATGGTTTGATCACTGGTAACATTCCGACTGAGGATCGGCAGTCGGGTGACTGCGAGCGACTAGACAGTCAAGTCAAGGATTAACGAGTATGTCGGATAAACGAAATTAGGTGGTATAAACGTTCGTGATCGAAAATTGGACAACTACACGATAGATAACGATACGAATACGTGGGGAAAGGAAAAATGAAATATTCATATTGTTGTGTTACATTGTCAGCGGAATATGATTTCTAATCAGGCAAACACAAAACTACTGTTACGGACTGTATGACTGATTCACAATTGACTGATTTAAAAAGCATAGTCTGGAATGGAAGTCGCTAATTTGAAACTAGTGCCGCAATGCTTATGAAAGCTGCTTTCTTAGTGGCTAATGTCGATTTCCTGTCAGTAATTTCATTGGTCGGTCAACGTTCGCGAAAGGTCGTTCTGACGTGACCTGTAATGGGATGTCCTCAGCGGAAGCGAGAACTTGTATCCGACTTGAGATTGAGGTAATCTAGGCATGCGATTAATCCTGTTTTGTTTATATAAAGCAGTAATTGTGTTTTTAGCAGAGTGTGCAGCATACGAACATTATCAGCACGAACTGAAAGAAAAATACGTGCAGATTCTTACCCGGAGTGAAACCACGTATTCAAAACTCAATGATGATGTTTCTTGCTAAGTAAAATAGACGTTTCTTGAAAAGCGCACTTTGCAATTTTGTCATTACTGCAAGTAATATTCCTCATCGGCGGAATGGATTGTTTTCATTTTATATGTATTTGCATACATGCGGTTATCTTCGTGATTCTAGTATGTGGCGAGGACTTTAATCGTTACTATAAGGATAACGCTATTTTTCGGGGCATTATCATTTGCAGAAGCCCGAGGTTTTCCATAACTGCCCGACGAAGGAGGGCAGTTGAAAAGACCGAGGGCTTCTGCATATGATAATTCCCTGCAAAAGAGCGTTACCGTTATTATAGCTAAAATTGATGGAATTTGTTATCAAATAAAAAGAAACAACATCGGTTTTGAAACATTTACTGCAATCAACACGAATGTCAATGACCCCATTTTACAAATATGAAAACGTCATAGAACAAACCAGATGACGTCACTATAATACCTGACGTCACTTTCTCTACCCTATGACGTCACCTAACGGGCTTGATAATGTCCCGTCGTCAAGCACTATGAGGGCATTATCAAATTACAGTGGCCCGCTCATTTCTGATAACGTGCGGGCGGTTTAATGATAATTCTATCCATTTTAGCTATAATACTGAATGATTCAAAATACCCAGGGTTAACTCGGGTTAGGTAGCACTATAAGTTCTACATTCTGTGATCAATGTTTAGGTGTCACAATAAACAGGGTGCCCCCGTAGGGATTCCGGGCTATTATAGGTCCTCAGTAACCCAACGGTTGTATGTGGCGAGGAAGTGGATCGGATGGTTATGATCGGTCAGTTTGGTTGACTTTGTCGTACCCCGACAGCAATCCTAGCGCGACGTCCGCTTTGTGAATTACACTCTGTCATGATTGGGCATGCAATGTCGCAGTCGCTTGCTCCAGGGTGCTGTTGTACAAAACAAACTGAGGGGTACGACTACCGTAAGTCTATCTTAAGGTATGGCAGTTCCGATAACCTTAGCGCTGATATCGCTCTGTGCAACGGCACCAAGATCCCTAGCTGTTCCCGTCCTCGTCTTCAGGTGATCATAGTTGTACACGGACTGCATTTCATCCAGAAACATGGCTGCTGAAGCCATCGTGTCATATTCCACACTAGACTCGGGACGCTGACTTGTTCTACGCAGACAGCTGTAGTTATTAGTATTCATACTCTCGATATCACGTCCAGGTACCTCATAATGCGATGTTGGCAATGTACCAGTGCCATTGTCTGTACAAGACTTGGGACGCTGACTTGTCGTACGCAGATGTTCGTAACTGTGACGGTCACCTTTCTGGCTACAGCATGTATATGAGACGATATGCTGTGATGGATCCGCACGTAAATTGAATGTAACTGTGTTGTAGTTATCACGAGGTGTGGGAAGCAGATTCTGACGACCCAGATGGTCGTTGGTGTAGGAACTACTGCTCGCACAACCGTGTGGTAGGCTATGGGTCGACGGATCAGTGTGTACTTGAACAATGTCGTAGTTGTCTCCAGACGATGTGATAGTCACAACTTGTCCATGTGCTGGTTCTGAAGGACGTTTTGCCAGATCTTGGAGCTCATGTATTGGGATGTTTTCCGGATCACTTGAAGGCCTGAAAAGATTCCAAGATATGATGCATGATTGACCTTCTGGATAGGCGCAAAAAAGAATGTTGCATAATGAATATACGTCGTGTTGATCAAGTAGTAGTTTAGAAATAAATGCAAATATAGGATAACAAAAAAGATAAGTGTTCGAAAGACGGGCAGACAACAGAATTTCAGTAACAAGCCACCAGCTTATAATAGATAATTATAGCATGAAGAATCACGCACGGGAGTACTGTATATGAATATAACACTTTCATTCATGAAACAAAGTGTTTGTTGTTTCTAATTATATTTGGTGTCTCCCGCCGTGATATTGCTCGAATATTGCTAAAAGCGGCTTAAAACCATACTCACTCACTCACTCTTATATGTGTAGGCTTTTGCTAACAACACAACCGCATATTATGGAGGACTATAGCATCTTCTCTTTGCGTTAGCTGTGTGAATTTCATAATTATAAGATATGGATATCCAGGGTAATCTGTCGAGAGGTATATTTTTCTTATAGTGGCATATTGTTCTCATGTGAATATCACATGGTATTCATCTCCAAATTAATTCAAGGTTTTTCAGAAAACTCCGTACACTCCAACAAGTGACTTTAACATTAAGAGGTTTTGACGAGGTGACTGTGCGAGCCAATATTTCACTGATCTGGTCAAAAAGAGGGAGTCTGCTATTCTCCCAAAGTACCGAATAATTATATATAAAGCGTGTTCATAAAGAGACAAAGATACCGTTACAAAAATATATTTGGTCAGTTTCAATTAATTAGTTGTACATATGTTTGCTCAAACTATACTATTGATTATTAATCGTTTCCGAATCGTGTTCCTCATTAAGTAATGGTGATAATTAACTCTATCAATGTTTACGTTTGCTAAAAACACAAACTGACAAAGAAACTTCATGTCTATCGATTGCTTAGACAAAGATGTAAATCCCGTCTGAGATCCCTTTTGAACAAGTCCATTGAATACAATGACCTTTTCGCCTTTTACGTGAACGCCCACGAATTCCATACATGTGTATCAAATGAGTGAGTGAGTGAGTGAGTTGGGTTTAACGCCGCTTGTAACATTATTCCAGTTATATCACGGCGTGTCGGCTTAATTCGGGAGGAAAGCCCGAAGTGATGCAGGTCTCGGACGTTTACCACTTCGGTGAAACCCACGAGCACGGGTATGGTGCTGACAAACCTAGAAACATAATCGGGGCGAACCGGGATTCGAACCCACAATCACAGGTTTCTGCCCAAGGGACGCAACTCTGCACAGCGAATCGTGGTGCCTTAGATGACTGGGCCACCCGTGCCCCCGTGTTATTGTACAATGCACAATCAGGATGTATTCGGTTTTAACTAAAAAAATTGTAATGTTAAAATGAATTACAAAATAACCACACTGCATTATGTGAACATCGTATGACACAATTAACAAAACCAAATTTAAGAAAGGTCCTTATTTAGGATGCTAAACCAGGACAAACTCACCATCGTTTAGAAAGAGAATAATTACTTCCTTGTTATATAACTGCTACCAACGACCATAGTTTATCACCTATACATATTCGTTTTACTTCCCGAACTTTCCCAGTTAACTTATTTCATACATTTGCATACAATTGAGATCCGGGAAGATCCGGGGTAGAATAGGTCTTCAGGAACACATTCTTGCCGTAAAAGGCAACGGTGCTTGTCCCAAGAGGCGACTAACGGGATCGGGTGGTCAGGCTCGCTGACTTGGTTTATGCTTGTCATCGTATCTTCATAAGATTTTTTCCCAATGGACTGCTGGTGCAGCTTAACATTGAAGTCGCTCTGAATGTGACAGTAATACGTAGGATATCGTGAATGATGACGAGGTATGTGTTGAAGCAACAAATCAATATTATTTCTGTCCACAAACCCTTTACTTGTGTAACATATATGACCACAGTCATAACTTTAAGTCGGGACAGAACCTAGTAGGGGATTCACATTTGTCACAAATGACTTTGGCAGATTCCGTTGCTACCTGTTCTTACTTGCAATAACAGCTGAATGAATCTTTCTTTCTTTCCCATCGGACCAAGCTAACCATGACATTGTTTGGTTTGACATTCACGCGAACATGCTGTATTTTTGTTTGTGTTTAATAGAATATATTCAATCAAGCCAAGCGGCAATCACAATTGAAACAAGGAAAAATATATTTATTGTTTCCTGTAGAGGAAATAATCATGTTCAGAGATAGGACAACCTGATATAAACGTAGAGACTTTCTCATTCTCTTGGACTGTATAGTTTCTACATGCATCAGTAGAGCCAACATAGTGTTTTCATTTTGTCACTCACTCATTATGGAGTCACACAATCCTTCCTCCTATACATCGGCATCATTGTGATAATAACAATGCCATATTTAGACTTGTCACGAACACAAAATTTAATGTTTTCGATTGCTATCAAATTTGTATTATCACTATACTGAACCTTTTTACTCCTGTCTCCCATGTATAACAATGCGATTTCTTGGCCCTGGAAATAGAAATCCCCGTCGAAATCCATGTAATCACATATGTGCTATGGCATATGTTTACAAAGGTAACTCAGACGTTATCATTATTTTTTGTCATATAAAATAATTTAACACGGCCATTTAACAGCTTTAACTCTGAAAAATGTATATGAACACTTTCATTACTTTCATGCAATTGAATGTGAACTCAGCCCTCGTCTCGTAATTTTACGTATACTTTCCAATTCCAGCAGCTCCAGCCTTTGGTGTCTTCATTTCACAACTTTTGAGGCACAATCGAGCATGATCTTTGCCCAGGGAGAGGCAATGGTGTCACAGCAGCTCGGTACATTGATCAAGTCTTGAGACCACACGCGATACCTCATTTGGCACGTCGCCGCAACCACGAGTTTCAGCATGATAACGCCCGTGCCCACACTGCGAGAGCAACAAGAGACTTCGTACAGCAGAATGGCATCAGAACCATGCAGTGGCCTGCCCTCAATTCCGATTTAAATCCAATTGAGCACCTGTGGGACGAGATTCAAAGACGGCTGAATGACGTCCGACCAAGGCCGACAACTGCAGCTGAACTGCGTCAGGCGTTCCTCAGAGTGTGGGCTCAAGTGCCTATGGCTTTCATCAACCGCCTCATCCATTCCATGTATCGACGTTGCACGGCAGTCATCAATGCACATGGCGGACACACGAGATACTGACTGGTGATGCCATTTCTTCAGCGACTAGTGTTGTGTTTCAATTTAAGAACATTTGACACTTTGATTTCAACCTTGATGATCAGTTTTGCCAAGTTTCATCTTTTTAATATGTCTCAAGGTATGTTTACAATGTTTGGACGAATAAGGTTTCTCATATATCTATCCATGGTGACGTTTCTTTTGTGGTTCAGTATATTTCACATGACAGTTCTGGTACAAAAAATTGTTATTCGACACTGTTTTGTGTTTTAATATCATTAATTTTGATGTGCAACGACGTTAATAGTTTTTTTTTTATCACGTTCAAGACTTTATTAAAAATTAAATAAAGTTAAAACTATCAACACCGTTTGGCCTCTGAGGTTTTGAAGATTTGTCTCCCTTTGTCCCTTAACGTCTTAGGTTGTCAGTGTTAAGTTTTGAGTTTTAAGTTTTGACATGACATATGCGACAAAGATTCCAAATAGTGTAAATCTTTCGGCATAATAAATTCGTTATGGTGTCTTTAGTTGCCGTATACGGTGTCATATTAGGTTAGCAGAAAAATATGGCACCGTAAACGGCAACTAAAGACACCATAACCAATAAGAACACGTTGGGCGTGGGAGCATGCGTATGGTGCGGACATATCTAGAAACATAACCTGGGGAAGATTTAAATCCACGATCAATATATTCTGGCACACCTAAGGATTGCTGCGACTCAGACGACTGCTGTCTACTCGTGTAACAGACACTGTGGTATACTCGTGTAACAGACGCCGTGGTATACTAGGGTAACAGACACCGTGGTATACTCGGGTGACAGACACCGTGGTATACTATGGTAACAGACACCGCGGTATATTCGGGTAACATACACTGTGGAATACTAGAGTAACAGACACCGTGGTATATTGGTGGTATACTAGTGTAACAGATACGGTAGTATTCTCGTGTAACAGGTGCTGTTGTATATTCGTGTGACAGACGCTGTGGTATACTCGTGTAACAGACACTGTGGTATACTCGTGTAACAGACACTGTGGTATGCTCGTGTAACAGATACTGTGGTGTATTCGTGTGACAGACACTGTGGTATACTCGTGTAACAGACACTTTGGTATGCTCCTGTAACAGATACTGTTGTATATTCGTGTTACAGACACTGTGGTATACTCGTGCAACAAACTCTGTGGTATACTCGTGTAATAGACACTGTGGTATGCTCGTGTAACAGATACTGTTATATTCGTGTGACAGACACTTTGGTATATACGTGTAACATACACTGTGGTATACTCGTGTAACAGATACTGTGGTATATTCTGTGACAGACACTGTGGTATATTCGTGTAACAGATACTGTGGTATGCTCGTGTAGCAGATACTGCGGTATACTCGAGTAATAGACTGTCCGCACAATGAACAGACAGTCATCACAAGGTCTGCCATATAAAACTTACCCGCGGCTACAGACAGTAACGACAGCGACGAATACAAGGAGCATCAACAGCCCAGCGCCAACACCGCCGGCGATTTCAACAACTGAAACACATATATTTTCAATTACCTTTCTTGTTGACGGCCAATATTATGTTTAACACAGGTGTGAAGGTGGATGTTTTTAATACAGTTCATAACACGTGATATTATACATAATCCAATCACAACGCACCACTTCTCACAACTTAGATTCCCGAGTGGAACAGGTTGAGCACACGTCTTTTTGTGTATCGCTGTTATGTATGGTGAACATGTCAATGGCTGTTCCCCCGAGATTTAACAAAGATGTAGATGGTTATAATTATTCAACAGCACTGTTCCATACTGACCTATTGTTACCATGTTTGCATGAATGTTAAATTCAAACTGAACCATTTCATGATATTTGAATTTCGGTCATAGACGGTTGCTACCGGTGGAGCAGGACACGCTCACCGTTCCGCGAACACCTGGTGTCATCATTATTGCAAGGTGATTCATAAGCATAGGCTAATGATACAGTCGGAATCGTACACTGAATTCTAATTTTAGCACCGTTCTTTTTCGATGATTATGCAAATGGTTTTATCGCTTTTATTAATAATGAAAGATTGATGAACTTTTCTACACCGTTGTTGGTGTCTGGTTATAATGTATCTACTTAAAAGCTGCAAGACGGATGTAACGACACCTATCATTGGTGTATGTTGATACCTTTTCGTTATATTATCGAAAATAACCCTGAATGCATGGGAAGTTTAGTTGAGTTTACAAGGTTAAGATTATTGATTGAATGAAACAGGAAGCTATCTACTGTTCAAGTTGTAACTTGAAACGTTTACGAGTTGTAATTACGTTGTCGGTGACATAGCATGTATAATCACGAAATCTTGTGATCTGGACATCCGAGATATATCATACGCCTATGAACCGTGTTCTGAGTGTTTTATGATTAAAGCCACGTTCAGCAATATTCAAGCGGCGGCCCGTAAATAAGGACACCTTTCAAACAATAATTAGTATTATGAAGAACGTCCTACGCCGCCGAGGACCATGCCAACACCATCCTATCCATCTTGTCCCTCTTAAGGATCTGCCAGTTAATGGTTTTTTTGTTGGTATATGGGTTTGTTAGAGGTGGAATACTTTTGTACTTGTTCCAGTGCTTCAACTGAGATATTATATTAATGTAAAGTAGGCATCCACAACAAAATTTTCAGGATCTCCATGGGACATTTTATTATTTTCTTTTTAAGGTACCAGGCATGATTTCCGGGGACAAAAGGTTTCTAAATAATCCCAAGCACATCTCCAGAATATCAAATGGCCTATCATTTGCGACATACATGTAGCTCTATGCTATTGGGATCAAAATATTATTCCACATGGATCAGGGAAGTTATGTTGTCAATAGTCGATTACAATGTTCTTACCAGGGAGAGAAGTATCCTGCTTGACGTTAAGGCTTGATCCTGTCGTGAATGGAGACGTCGGCGTATTTTCAGATACAGGTTCACCGCTGTAGGAGACATTTGTAGTCGTTGTACGATGGGTACCAATGCATACAGTTCTTATAGTTGATGCTGAAATAGAAGAAGACCTGCTGCCAAAAGGTGTCCTAAAACTGATATGTGCAGGCTTAATTGCTCATGAAACATAATTTCCAAAACATGAATATATTACATTCTCATATTCTTAGGGAAGCGACATGCTGGGAGTGTTACATGGGGTAAAACAGTACGGACTATCATACATATGTGATCTGTTTGCAATTGGGTTTGGTTGTCTTATAATTAGTCACCTTGGATCACGAGAATAGTGTATATTAATATATAAAATCTAATTGATGGGATTCATTTACTTAGTGATCAGAGTCACTCTAATTATGAAATATCTGGTTCATGTGTAGACATAATAGATCGTGAGTTATGCTCTCTTTAGTGTATTTTAGAAACAAAACGCTAGACCGTCATGCCCTCCTACCAAAAACACACATTGTCATGAAAATTGTGTGATTGGCGGGTGCTTACGGTAGGGCGGGATATGGTCACCGTTGTCGCGAACACCTGGTGTCATCACTGATTTTCATTAAATTATCTATATACCTTTCATCACTATTTTGCCTTTGACGCTCAATTGAATCTGTTTCGGTAGCTAATCTGACTGATTTTGCTCTGGCGTTGGCGGTTTGAATTATGACAGACATACATATCATCACAAGATCCTTTAAATTTAGTTTATACATGTACCTGGACTCCCTGTCTGAACCTTCAAGCATTTACTGACATCCGCAGTGTTGGAGGTGAACGAAACCACATAAGTATCATGAGGCACAAAATTGTGTTCATAAACTGTCGTTGTACAGTTTCTTGTCGAACCACCTGGAACCGTCACTGTTCCTCCACAGGTAGAAGAAAGGGCAACGATTGTAAATGTGACCAGTCCTCCATCACCGATCATTGTCAAATTACAGTCACACCGCTGTACGTTTCCCGTCGGTGCGGCATACAGGTGGAAGTTTGATGCTGGTTCTGTTGATCTAGCTCTTTCGTCACACATCTCGATCTCTGTAAAACAGCGTTGGATGTTTTAACGCAGTGGTAATTTGATGACACTTCAGATTCTTATTCAGTGTATAAGCGGTAGTAATGTAAAGTTGTGATGAAGTTACAAATGTTCCATGTGATTGTAATAAGGATATTGCTATGATATCGGAAATGTGTAATATTATATATTCATATTTAGGAGTTTTGTTACCTGTAAAATCATTGTCCCCTCCACATGAGACCACTGTAAAGACAAATATTTTTTTTACAAGATTATTGTGTGTGGCTGTGCAACAATTGTACATGCATGTAAAGTGATATATATTATCTTCTGAAAGTCTTATTTTGGACCAATGCTTACTTTGCTCATAATAAAAAGTATTTAAAAATTGTGTTTCAACTATGTTTTAATTAAATTTTATTTGCATACATAATACAGTAATAAATATAAATATGTACATGTTACAGTATGTTTCTATGTTTCACCAAAGCCTCTTAAATGATTGGTACGGTAAACTAAATGTGCTTTTACACAACATATCCTGGTTTATATCTGGTATGAATACCTGGTATCATAACGATTTTATAGCGATACGTACACATGAGTTTCCAAGTTCCATCACAAACCATGGACGTTGGAGTAATTTTTCTTTTTGATGAAAGAAATGTTATGATGTTTTAGAAAATGTAAATGGAACCTTATATGGGAGATGTTTTCCCCATATTTCGCATCCGCAGAGAAGAAATCATATAACAATGCTGTCAAAAAGCCGCAATTGACATTCAAGTAATAAGTTTAATTTCCGTCCTTGACATAGCTTTAGTTGCTTGTTCTAAAAACATTTTCTTCATTATAGTGAATTATTATTTTAAAAAAAAGCATTTATAAAAATTAACTTTCACCAAAACATCATGACCAATTATACTTATAAACATGTTATTTTTGGTTTTAATACAAATATGTTATTTTGTAAAAGTTAATGCTTTCTGAAAATCCACAAACGCACGGAATAATTTCTTTTCTACAGCTTTTAATAATTCCCCATTATTTTTAAGGTTTGGGTTGACATAAAACCTTATAACAATATTTTCTGGGAACGTATTGTCCGGCGTTAACATTTTATTTTCAAATACTACTACCTGTGCAATACCACTGCTTTCTCCACCATTACTCATAATTATAATCTTAAAATCGTCGGTCATATGAACTTGAGCCTAAACTTGAACAACTTTTTAGTCTGTTGCAGACATTGCGAACACACAGATGTCAACAATGAGGATTATTGTTTGATTGTTCTTACTCGCCGATTGGCGCACTTTAAATATGCATCTACTTATTACTATGTCACGGGGTCATTATTTCGCTCGTGCCACGTCTAGTGACCTCATCGCTGCCCGGTTTTTTAATTCCGAAATCTCTCGGTAAAGTCCGGCGGTTGTACAGTGTCATTACATTTTGTGTCAGGGAATAAGTGGCCCGATTATTTCATTCTCTTGTGATTTAATGTCACTCTCATACCATAAATTGACTGGATGTATGTGATATCCTACATCTCCGCTACCTTATTTTTATTCTGAAAATGTTTTGTAACAACGATTTCCAAAATTAGGGGAATTTATATGTACACTCAGATATTTCTCAAGTAGTTTTGATCATTTATGCCTCATCAATAACTGTAAATAGCTTGTTGTAAATCGTTAATGTTACCGTTGGAAAGTGTATGTTCGGCGCTTTAATTTGATACTTACATCTTCAGAATAGATGTAGTAGTGAACTATAGTTAGCTCTTCGTGTTTTCCCCATGTTTAGAAACCCACGTTGGCTAAGCGCCTCAGTCTATTGTATTCCCCGGCTGTCCAGGAGAGATTGACCACAATGAGGATCGCACACAGTATATTTATGCTTCTGGATTCGTTAGGGGTCGTTTGTACGGGTCGATGTACTACTGGGTGGTCACGTTCGAAACTCAGGTGTTGTTAGTTAGCGGTTACGGACACTTTTCGATCTGGTATTGACATACTCTTGTTGTATTGGGGGAAGTAGTTAGGGTTTCCAATACTTACGTTTTCTAGTAATCCGTGGATAACCAACCTTCCCGTGTCTAGCAACATGTATTTGGGAATTTTACTTTTACTTTTTAATTTTACTCCTAGCTCAGTCAAAGTGACTGAATCTTTAGTCTGTTAGGCTAGTTTGATATTCAGACGTTCTCGTCTATTTTTATAATAGACTTAATTTATGGTAAAGCCCTCTAAGTTTATTTTCCTTTATTTAACCCAGTCGAGGTTATTCACTCATTCGCGAAATCTAATGAAGACATATTTCCCCACCACACCTTTTTTTAAATTACAAGATTTTTTTTTACCCTATTTTAAACCCATTCGCTCCTTAACACTGTCGCTAGCAATCGATACGTAAGTACACATGTACCAACTCGTGTATGCTGGGAGGTCTGAACGCTCTGCGATATTTCGTTCCCTACCAAGAGTTAGCGAGTGTGCCATACCCACATCACCTAATTGTATTTTGGTACCTTGTGGGGAGAAATTAGGCGATCTGGGAGGACACCATACGACCCAATCGTTTCATCGGGATATGAGCTGCGACAGCTGTTTCATTTTTCTGCATGATTCAAAGGGATGAATTTAATAATAATACGAAGATATTTGAGAGTGTTATCAACATGGTAGAGGAAGTACACTTACCCGTTGACATTTATCCACAACCTGCTTTGTCTGGACAACCCAACTCGTGTTGTAATGACTCCCAAAAGCTACATATATATATTATTCGTTCTCCGTTTATACGTATATCTATCTTCGTGAACTTCATTATTATATGTAGATGGTCTCATAAATTCTTGCGAAAAGGCTTCTGCTAAAATAAAGAATACTGCAAAGGACGATTATCGTGTTCATGCATGCTTGCACTTTTTAAGTGTGAAGAAACACTATTTTGAAACGAGGAATGCGGAGACTGAATTGAGATCAACACGCATGTGTGGAATTTAATAAAATTTGATAGTATCGATTGTCAATTTGTCAGTAAGCGTTGTGTTCATATCTCGGGATTTATTACGGTTAAAGACATTATTGTTATCTGTAACCGGACGTATTTCAAGTCACCCATATGGTCATGAGCGTGAGTTGGTGAGTGGGCATGGTATCACATCGTATTTAGCAATATTTCAGCAATGGACCTGACAGAATGTACCCATGTCGGGAATCGAACCCGGGCCTTCTGCGTGACGAGCGAACGCTTTAAGTACTGGGTCACCCCACCACACCTCTGACTCTAAGAGTGAGTGAGTGAGTATGGTTTTACGCCGCTTTTAGCAATATTCCAGCAATATCACGGCGGGTACACCAGAAATGGGCTTCACACATTGTACCCATGTCGGGAATCGAGCCCGAGCCTTCAGCGTGACGAACGAACGCTTTAACCACTAGGCTACCCGACCGCCCCTCTGACTCTAAGAAAGAAAGCGTACATAACTACCTCTAACGTACTAGAAAAACTTGATATTACAAAACAAAGTCAAAGAGGTAGAATCATACAACTTTCATATCATATTCGATGCATGTATTGTACAGAATCCACGACTAAAAATAAATTTACGAGCACTTGGCTTACTCATCAGTAAGTTATCAACACAGACCAATCTAATTTCAAACTGAAGTGATGTAGTCGTGTCGAATAGAGATCACATACATATGTTAAAGGTCTCTGTTTCCAAACGCCACAATTTGGTGTGCAGGTCTCTTAGACATGTCGGAATAGCATGATCGTTGGTTCGAACACTAGTATATCGATCCGGTAGAATAATATAAAAGCTCCTATGGGGTGGAAGCTGGAGCTTGAACTAAAACCAACCCACATACACATGTGTACTTAGGCAACCATGGGCACTGACATTCAGTTATTCTATATCCTGCATGTACGGTTAGTGAGCATGCCCTCCTCGGACAAACAGAGTTCACGTAACAATAATACTGTGAAGTGAAGTTTAACATTACCTGTCTCGATCATATCCAGAAAATGAAACCAACCCAGTATGACACAGAGACATCTCTTCCTGTCCATAACTCCGGAGTGGATAAAACTTGTCATGGACGTGACATACCATATGTATATTCACTTACTTCCTTGTGTGTAGGGGCACGGGCACGGGTGGTTCAAAAGGTTAGTCATTAAATTCAATGACATAGTGAAAAATAGAGTACTTAACTTTTCTTATTATGATTTCCTGTGCTTGCCTACGTTTTCCAAGTTGCTTCATAGACACCTAGGTTTGGAAGGGGCACGGGTGGCCCAGTCGTCTAAGGCGCCGCGATTCGCTGTGTAGAGTTGCGTCCCTTGGGCACGCCAGAAACCTATGATTGTGGGCTCGAATCCCGGTTCGCCCCGATTATGTTTCTAGGTTTGTCAGCACCATAGCCGTGCTCGTGGGTTTCACCGAAGTGGTAAACGTCTGAGACCTGCATCACTTCGGGCTTTCCTCCCACATCAAGCTGACACGCCGTGATATAACTGCAATACTGTTAAAAGCGGCGTTAAACCCAAAATCACTCACTCACTCACTCCTTGTGTGTAGGCTACGATGAGGTCAACCCACATGTAACAATGGTAATATGTTTTTCACTCAAACTTAATTTATTGAGGTAAGCAAAACACACAGAAATGTATTATAGCTTACAAAAGGCATTGCATATATACTCTGCAAAAAACAGAAACTCCCAAATGACTTTAGATGTATATTTGAAGTATCATATAAATAATCAATAGAGGGTGATCGGCTTTTCAAACTTGACACACATCATTATCATTGACCCAGGCCCCACGAGAGTCCAGAACTGACTGGCATATTCGTCCCATGGAAGCAATCAGATCCCGAATTGTGGCATGAGGAATGTTCACCAACTCTGCCTGCAGTGCTTGTGCCAACTGTTGGTGGTCATATGATTGTTGCTGACGTGCACGATGTCGTTGATCAAGTGCATCCCATAAATGTTCGATTGGTTGAAATCTGGAGACCTGGAGGGCCATGACGGGGCCTGGATGTTGTGATTCCTGAAAAAGGCTATTGCAAGTCTAGCCGTGTGAAGTCTGGCGTTGTCATTATGTTCGGTTGATGCATAATAGGAAGGGCGTGTGGCCGGAGAATATCATTCGTGTAACGTTGTATCGTTAAAGTCCCCAAAACTTCCACAAAGTCTGTTCTACCAGTGCACAAGATGGCTGCCCACATCATCACACTACCACCACTAAATCTGTCCACTTCCTGTATGCAGTTTCCTATGGCGCCTATAAACACGTCGTCTACCATCCTTACGGCGAAGCATTAAACGTGACTCGTTACTAAACCGAACTTGCAATTGCCTCCATCGCAGTCGTGGCCATAGTCTATGACCTTCACACCATTGACGTCGCAGCCAATGATGCAGACCCGTCAAACTGACACCTCGAATTGGTCGTCTAGCGTAAACAGTTCCTCTCTGTCTGGCCTGATATCCTACGCAATCCTGGTATTGTCGTACTGGTAGAGGTGGCCGTGGTTGTTCTTTCACGCAACTGACGTAGCCTAATGAATCTGTCCTGTGCTCTAGTGGTGACACGTGGTCGACTGTAACTGGGAAGGTCCCGTGGTGTCCCGTGTATATGATAACGGTTTCACAGTCTTGTAATGGTGCTTTGTACTACAGCGATCATTCTCCTGTTTGCAGTCGGCCGATATCGTTGTTGCGTTGGGCTTCCGTCAGTCGTGGCATGATTTTGCTGTTCATTTGCTATTCATTTGCTGTAAGATTGTGATGGCAAACAAATGAAAACTAAACGTTTTGATAGCCCAACAAGTGATGTTGCACGTGCATGTCATGTTCGTGTGTTTCGGCTACAGGCTCTCACGTGGTTGTATTTGTTGGTATCATACTTGTCGTCGTGAATTCCCACTGAGGTAAACATAACGTTTGTTATCCTCCCCCGTTAACCGACATGGTGTAATTTAACTTAAAACACCAACACGGTTTCATTAACCCTAAATTATTCACTCATTTATAGTCAATTTTCATAGACAAGAGGTGCGGCCGGGTAGCCTAGTGGTTAAAGCGTTCGCTCGTCACGCTGAAGACCCGGGTTCGATTCCCGACATGGGTACAATACGTGAGGCCCATTTCTGGTGTCCCCCGCCGTGATATTGCTGGAATATTGCTAAAAGCGGCGTAAAACATACTCACTCACTCATAGACAAGTTTGCGCTCTACACATACACTTCTGTGCACAATTACTTATCTTTACCTTCCTGGACTTTCCGCATGTATAGGTAGGTGGAGGGTATGACTGTTCACGGCAGAGTTACCCCTGCGCGAGGTCACTCAACTATACACAAGGGGTTATATAGTTGATATGTATAACTGGCACAACACGTATCTACATGAAGAATACATATTTGTTTGGAGAATGTCGTCGAATTAATGTTGCATTAACACCTCAAACCAGACTTATAGATACAATATTTACATAAGAAATCTTAGCTATAGCAGCTATCATGTTGAGTCTGATTGTAGTGTATTTGAGCAATATAGTTAGGCCATGCAAAGTAAATCTGTCATTGATTTTCATTTGATAAAGATATGATATGATACAAAGTTGATGGGCATTCTAAAGTTGTGCTGGGTGCAGGGGTTCAGGGGTTTTACAATGTGTGTCAATACCTGCTTTCAACGGCACCATTGGGCTCGGAGCGTGGATGATATTCGATGAAAAGTTTATTTTATAAATGTGACCTGAACCACATTTCAAGTAAATAAGTGACAAGTATGTTCTACACAAATGTAGTCTTAACATCAGGAGCGTCAAACACTGTAAGAGTTTATGAATGTCCTAGCTAGAAACCGCCTCCGTGGTCTAGTGGTAGAGCGTCCGCCCGGAGAGCGGAAGGTCCGGGGTTCGAACCCCGACCGCTTCATACCAAAAGACGTTAAAAGATGGTACTTGTTGTTACCCTGTCTGGCGCTCGGCATTAAGGGGTTTAAACAAGGACTAGTCGGCTCGGAGTCAGTATACTGTATCTGAGTAGGGTATTCATGTTAAACTGCGGCATGGTATCTCAGTGAGCTAGCACTATAAATCGGCATCAGTCCGGACTAGAACAAGCAGCCACACAAACACAAACACATACACGTACATGCACGTCGCTATATAAGTGCAATAATCTTGGACGCGACGTTAAACCAATTTCACCTCACCTCACCTCACCTAGCTAGAATCCTAGAATTCCCTCTATCCGAGAGGACTAGCTTCCACGTGAGATAGTGTGTATCAATACTGTGTTACATGTTTATCAATTTTAATTCATTGTATCAAGGAAAACATCGACATGTGTGTCAGTTCGTGTCGTATTATTTACCGCTATTTTGACGTGTTAGTTCAAAGTAATCGAGGCGTTATTTGCAACCGCCCTTTGCTTGCACGCACCACTGAGTTTGAATACCGCATCATGACCTGATCCGTCGATTTATTTCCCTGTGTTTCAAAACCTTCCTGGTTGTACACAATAGTTGCCTGTGAGCATGTTCCCGCACACACACTACATACAGATATCCGATAGTGGATAGTTTTTCACTCGATTATCAACAACAACTTTGTTTGACTTGCCAGATAAACATTCGTGTTGTACAACATGAAGTGTAGAGAACCGTATTTAAAGGCAACCATCAAGCTACACACAAAGGCTGGAGGACAGACACTGAGCAATATTCCAGTCATATGACGGTGGCCTCTAAATAATCGATTCTGGACTAGACAATCCAGTGTTTGTTATTGCGAGCTGTGACACAACGTCGGTCGTTTCCATAACGCACAATCAACCAAGTTACCGAGCATGTCAACCAATTCAATTAAGCACCTCTCACAACCAGCATAGATTGCTGGCTACGGCCATCAGTCATCCCCCTGATAGTACATGATTATATACAAACCTGTTCTTTGTATGTCTGTCCATTTTCGCTTATTTCAACAATCTGGCTCTCTTGCATATAGATGTTACGGAGTGGCGATGTGAAACCGCTGCAAATTATATTGCTGTTTGTAGTGGTCGGTTATTAATGATGTAACTGTTATTAGAGAGCAAGTAAAATGCAAAGTCATATTGTTTTTCATTCTTTCAAGTTTATTTAACAAGTAAGTTATTTACATGTATGTAACCAAATTGCATTTAGAGCCATTTTTTCATTGTTTTTGTATTATATTGTAACAATTTTACAAAGCACATTCCACATTATGCGCTCAGACCATGATAGATCGAAACAGTACCTAGAGCTCGGTTAATGAATCAGTGTGTTTTATCTCTTAAAACCCAGGAAGTATATAACCCAAGCAGTCTATGAAGTGCAAGAAGGTTAACACTCATATACTAATTACCATCTTCCCCTACCGGGTATCCATTCACTGCTGACCCGTGAAGATTCCGGGGTAGAATAGGACTTCAGCAACCCATGCTTGTCGTAAAAGGTGACTATGCTTGTCGTAAAAGGCGACTAACGGGATCGGGTGGTCAGGCTCGCTGACTTGGTTGATGCATGTCATCGATCCAAATTGCGTGGATCGATGCTCATGATATTAATCACTGGATTGTCTGGTCCAGACTCGATTATTTACAGACCGCCGTCATATAGCTGGAATATTGCTGAGTGCGGCGTTAAACAACCAACTAACCAACTAACCATTCACTTCTGGGTGAACACAGGAATATTGTGAACAAACTGGCCTAAACAGATATCACATATGTGCTTGAGTGCTCGACCGAAGACTGTCAGGAGGGTCATCCATCCAACTACTCTTCGGAACCGACGTTGCTGAACTTCTCCTAATTTGTGACCTGTACGCTATAGCCAGTACCACTTAACTAACCAGATTATCTATCAATCACATCTCATCTCTCACTCTTACAAACACTGGTGAAATGTAGATAACATCAAGTTCCGAAGGCTGTGGCTCAGCATGAAATCGAGGCATCATCACATGTGCTGACTCCTTGAATCTCCCTTGCAGCACATCACAACTATGGTGTTCACGTCATTCCGTTTCATCTTTATCATTCTTACCGGACAAGGCGTTTTTGCTGAAGAATGAGTGAGTGAGTTAAGTTTTAAGTCACATGGGCAATATTTCAGCCATAACGTGACTAAATCAAGTTATATATTAATACATAGTGACAATAAAATCTGTCGACAAAGGACAGTAAAAACACTAGACTATCACAGATGTAGATTGTAAAACTAGCATATCAGAATAAAATTCATAACAATTCAAAACAGTACACAATAAAAATGGGCTTTAGATCACCAATAGCCAAAGGTAGGTCACCAAACTAGGTACCATGGGGACTTACTATACTTCTGCTACCTACATGGTAACCCAGCAGGATTTACACCATCCCTCCGGCTACTGGTGATTGTCGGCAAGTTTAAGCCAAAACATTTAAAAACAACAAGAATTCTACGATTAAAAACATGGAAAATGAAAAATACTTTGAATGAAATGGGACTTACATACCTTCTCAGGGGGACAATTATTTTACGTTACTTCAACCCCCTTTGAAGGTACAGCCACTAACAAACTCAGTTATTACGTCATTCTACCAAATTAAAATCACATACTGTTTACAATACATGTACATATCAAAATTTATCAAGCAATTCTATTTCTTTTAAAAAACCAAGAATTAAATGAGAATTAATCTGATTAAAAAGATCCTTTAACGATGAAACTTTGAAATACTTATCCCTTGTGATGGAAAAATCAATACAGTCAAGCAGGACATGCTTGACCGTGATTCTCTCATCACAAGGGATACAGAACGGAGGATCTTCACCTTTTAACAAATATTCATGTGTGTATCGCGAGTGGCCAATACGACATCGTCGTACAATGACCTCTTCAAATCTGGACTGACAACCCAAGTAGGTGTAACCTATGGTTGGTTTTATAGCATGTAATTTATTAATACCTACTTGGGTGTCCCACTTCTGCTGCATTATATCTCTGATGTAGTTTCTTATTACAGGTTTATAATCGCTGTATGGAAGCAGAAGTGGTGTCACAGATTCGTTGAGTGCTGCTTTAGCAGCAGCATCAGCCATTGTGTTACCTGTGATGCCCATATGACTCGGTAACCAACAAAAGACGATGTCGTATTGGCCAGTTGAAAGATCATTGTAAAGTTCTAAAACATCTAAAATCAGTGGATGAGTGGAAGATACATTATGCAGTGCCTGAAGGCAAGAAAGAGAATCAGAAAAGATGATAAACTGTTTACATGAAGACTGGTGTTTAATATATATCAAAGCTGTAAGGATAGCATTGGCCTCAGCAGTGAAAATAGAGCTATTGTCAGGTATTCTAAATGATATGGTTTGTGATCCAACGACAGTGGCACTTGCTACTTTGCCACCACCCTTGGATCCATCAGTAAAGATTGAACGGTGAGTGTCATATTTGTTTCTTAATTGTAAATATTCCTGATGATAAACCAGTTGATTTGTTTCAGACTTGAGAAAGCGTGTCAGTGAAATGTCTACTTCTGGCCTCACCAACTGCCAGGGAGGAGTAGACAAAAGCCGAGAAGGAGAGATAAGATCCAAATCAAGATTTGCAACAGTAATATTGGATTTGAGCCGAATCCCAAGTGGAGGAACCAGCTTCGGTTTCTTCAGAAATAGATTTTCATAGAGGGGGTAGAATACAGAGGCATAAGCAGGATTAGAGGGGTTCGAACGTAATTTAGAAATATATTGAAGAGACAATTTAGTACGGCGTTGTTTTAAAGAAGGTTCATCAGCCTCCACATAGAGGCTGTCAACCGGAGAAGTTCGAAAAGCACCAAGACATAGACGTAGTCCTTGATGGTGAATTGAATCCAGCTTTTTTAAATTGCTCTTGCAAGCTCCAGCATACACAATGGAGCCATAGTCCAATTTAGAACGGATCAATGATCGATATAAGTGAAGGAGGGTTTTCTGATCCCCTCCCCACTTTGAATTTGAAACGACTTTTAACAAATCTAGGGCCTTCAGGCATTTGGTCTTCAGATAAGTAATATGTGGCAAAAAGGTTAAATGATGGTCGAAAATTAATCCTAAAAATTTGGCTTCTTTTACAATCTTGATTGGAGTGCCATCTAAAAAGAGTTCAGGGTCTTTATGGGGTTTATATTTCCGACAGAAATGTATACAATTGGTCTTCCTCTGTGAGAACTTAAAGCCATTCTCAAGACACCATTTATGAATTTTATTAAGACACAACTGTAATTGGCGTTCAATAGTACGCATATTTTTACCACGACATGATATATTGAAATCATCCACAAACAATGACCCATCAATTGAGTCATTTAATACTTTTGATAAACTATTTATTTTTATACTGAACAATGTGACAGACAAAATACTGCCCTGTGGAACACCCTGATCCTGATTATAATGATCAGACAGGGTTGATCCAACACGAACTTGAAATTGTCTGTCAGTTAAAAATTGCGATATAAAATGAGGCAAACGGCCTCTTAAACCAAAGTCATGTAAATCTTTTAAAATACCATGTTTCCATGTTGTATCGTAAGCTTTTTCTAAATCGAAAAAGATCGATACAGCATGTTGTCTATTTACAATGGAATTTTTAATGAACGATTCTAAACGCACTAAATGATCGATAGTACTTCTGTTCTTCCGGAAACCACATTGTATATTGGTAAGAAGATTATTTGTTTCCAAGTACCACACTAATCGATTATTTACGATGCGTTCCATCGTTTTACAAACACAGCTAGTTAAAGAGATAGGGCGGTAATTTGATGGATCAGAATGATCCCGCCCAGGTTTGGGTATTGGTATAACAATGGCATTATGCCATGAAGGTGGAAACGTCCCAGATGTCCAAATGTCATCAAATATAGTCAACAAAGTTTCAAGGCATGATTCTGGCAAGTGTTTCAGTAGCTGATAATGAATATTATCAGCGCCTGCTGCTGTATCATGAGCTTGCCCTAAGGCAGTATGTAGCTCATGTAGTGAAAATACCTCATTGTAATCTTCACCATTATCAGATGTAAAATTTACTTCTTTTTTTTCCTGTTGGAGTTGATACTTTTGAAATTCAGGAGCGTAATTAGATGAAGAAGAATGTTGAGATAACGTTTTCCCAAGTCTATTGGCAATATCAGATTTAGTCGTTAGCAAAGTATCGCCATCCTTTAGATGGTTTACTGTAGAATTTGATCCCTTGCCTTTGATCTTTTTGATCATGTTCCATACCTTGGACATGGGGGTACGAGAGTTAATTTTTGAGACATAATTCTGCCAGGATTGACGTTTATTTTGTTTAAAAAGACGTCTCGCCTTAGCATTTGAAATTTTGACGATGTTCAAGTTATGGACAGTGGGATGTTTACGGAAGTATTTCTCCGCCTTCTTACGACATTTCCTAGCGTGTTTGCAAGTGTCATCAAACCACGGTTTACGAACACGTGGGTTGATCGAGGACTTAGGTATTGATTCATCAGCAATTTCATTCAGTTGATCTGAGAACAACTGAATGGGGTCAATAACATTCTGAAAAGACGTAGGTTGTAATTTATCTTTGCATAAAGATTGAAATAAAAGCCAATCAGCCTTCACAAAATTCCATCGAGGTGAAGGTGGATCATCAACGGGATGAATGGGTTTAAGCACGGTGGGGAAATGGTCACTCCCACATAGGTCATCATGGACGGTCCATGAGAATTCATTCAACAACACTGAATCCGTCAAAGACAGATCTAATGATGAATACGTACCAGTTGCAGGGTGTAAGTAGGTGTCCGAGTCATCGTTAAAGATGCAGAGGTCATTATCAGAAACAAAATCCTCGATGACTTTACCCTTTTGATTAATGATAGAACCTCCCCATAAAGGATTATGTCCATTTAGATCACCCATGATGACACAGGGCTTTGGGAGCTGGTCGTACAGTTTTTGGAGATCATTACGCTGAAGATTTGAAGATGGAGGAATGTATAAGGAGCAAAGTGTGAAGGCAATATGCAGTGTAAGTCTAACTGCAACAGCTTGCATATTCGTGTCAAGCGGAACAGGACTGTGAACAACGCCCCGCCGCACCAAAATAGAAGCTCCTCCAGTAGCTTTATCTCCCGGAGGAGAGAAGGAATGATACGAACTATACTGCCTTAAATCAAATGTGTCGGTTGTTTTAAGGTACGTTTCTTGTAAAGAAATTGCTGATGGACAAATATCCGTTGATAATAATTGCAGTTCGTTAAAATTGTGCCTAAGTCCTCGGCAATTCCATTGAATTAGATTCGAATGATTCATGGTGGTTCTACCGGAGATCGTTCACGTAAACGTGAAGAGGAGTCACCACTGCTGTGGTGTGAAGATGGGGTGACATCCATCTCAAGAGGCTCAAAGTAATTGTGAACATCTACAGATGTTTCAGTGAGAGTAGGGATCTTTGTAGAAATTTTCTTGTTTTGTTTCTTCTTTTGTTTTTTTGGCATTTCAGTTGATGGTTTGTTGGTAGCTGGTTTATCAGGAGTGGGTGTAGATGGGGCCACAACCTGAGTCACAATGATAGAATCTGAAGACATTTCACCTGGGCTGACAGAATGAGTTGTTTGACTGTCACATGATGTTGTCAGAGGCAGCGGGTGTTCAGAATGTGTCCACGTCAAGTCCGTCTGACATTCTATAGATCTACTGGTTGAAGGGCGAGAGACAGCAGCAGCAGCAGCATAAGATTGTTTGGATGAAGGTGTCCGGCTATCATAGAGTTTTTTTGCATCAAAGTAACTGATGTTGTTTTGACATCTGATTGTCAAAATGTCTTTTTCACGTGTCCAAAAAGGACAGGATTTTGATGACGCTACATGTTGACCCTTACAATTTGTACATTTCAGGTCTGCTGTACAGCCTGAACCATCATGATTTCCACCACAACGGTGGCAAACAGTAGGACGATCACATGATTTGGAGCCGTGCCCAAACTTCTGACATTTGTAACACCGGAGTGGATTGGGGACATACACCTCCACTCCGATGTTAAAATAGCCTGCCTTAATAGATTGTGGAATTGTTGAAAGAGAAAAGGAGAACAAATAAGTATTTGTTGGAATGAAATTTTCACCATCTTTTCTATTGAAACGTTTCACTGATGTGACATTCTGTGATTTAAGTTCTTCCAAAATGTCATCTTCTGACATTTCAGCCAGGCAACGAGCTCTGTCGCGGATGATCCCTCGACTCGAATTCAACGTTCTGTGTTCAGAAACAACAACTTCTGTGTTAGCAAAGCTAGTACATTTTAAAAGATTAATAGCCTGCTGTCTCCGTGCACACTCCACCAAAAGAGAGCCGCTCCGGAGCCGTGAAACATTCTTCACCTCACCACAGATACCTTCAATGGCTTTAGATATTGCAAAGGGATTGATTTTCAAAGGTAGTTGATTATGTGATTCCACTACGATAAACCGAGCCCAAGAATTTGAAGTTCGTGAAATAGAAGCATCGTCGTCAGATGAGAAAATCTCAGCTTCCAGACGTCTCTTCTTGTCAGTGCGGTTTGAACCAGAATGATTGTGTGCCGTAATGAAAGTAATTGATTCAGCACCCCTGCTCCCCACCCACCATGGAGTGCTACAAAGAGCGATGTTTTCCTGCACCGGATCTCCAACATGCAAACATCAGGGATACAGAGGTGTTATACTCCAGTAAAAACAACATGAATAGCTGCATTTGTCTAACAAATAAAATGCCAGGCTGGTCCGGCCCATGACAAGAAATTGAAGACATACAGAACTCAGAGGTCGAAAGTACCAGATTGGCCCATGAGCCACCGCCTTCTGGCGTAAGACTCTAGGCAATGTATTCAATCCAAAAGTTAGAATACACACAAGTTAGGGACGGCCAAGGCCAAAATATACATTAAAATACAACACACGTGTGCATATACAATATTACGCACAGGGCCTGGCATGACCAGCCGATTGATAAGACCGGGCCCATCTTACCACCCGTCTAGGCGAAGTAAGGGTCGAAGTAGTGTGTTGGGCAAAGGAACACAGTTCCAGGAACCAGTGCCCTCAACTACCAGACTCCCGTCCTCCGCCGACACAGGGACGCAACCCACGGCAAACAGGTTGCCCATTTTAGTCGCCTCATACGACCAGCAATGGGAGGCTGTGGAATTATTCTGCCCCGGTTCCACACGGGGGAAGAGCTATTAGCGTTACCCAGCACTCACCACGAGGAGGTTGCTCTTCACGAGTGCCTTTTGCTGAAGAAAGAACATGTACATGGATTCCACAACTAGACTATGAAGATTTCATGACATCGTGGTACATATTCATAAATGCGTTCAGGAACCCCTTGTTAACATGTATGGCCATGACCAGGTTTCTCTTCATCACGACCCGTAAAGATCCGGGGTAGAATAGGTCTTCAGCAACCCATGCGTGCCGTTAAAGGCGATTATGCTTGTCGTAAAAGGCGACTAACGGGATCGCTGACTTAGTTGATACATGTCATCGATCCCAATTCCGTGGATCGATGCTCATGATATTAATAACTGGGTTGTCTGGTCAAGACTCGGCTATTTACAGACAACCGTCATATAGCTAGAATATTGCTGAGTGCGGCGTTAAACAACACACCAACCAACCTAATCTCTTCATCACAGTTGGATAAGAAATCGACTTCCTTCAACAGATAACTGTTAAATCAATTTGTATTCGCTTCTGAATCTTACCTGATGCAGAATATAACAACTGCGACGATGAATATAACAATGACAATTCCCACTCCGCCCATGACCCAAACCGTCGAAGTATAAATTCGGTTACCATCTGAAATAGATGATGATGGTAATAAAATGAAGGATTGCAGTGGATTGGATATATGAGGGGATATATCGGGAGGAGGACTAAGTACACGTAATTCATATAAACTACCATAGAAACATACACCTAGGCTTGATGGTGACGAAATTAAACAATGATCGAGAAATGGTTACTCGATGGTGATGTATTTGAAATGGGTATAAGAGCTGTGTTTTGGACCTTGGGCTTGCGAGTATTTTGATGACTGTGTCCGCCAACTAACGTTTTGATTACATTTGTAATTTTGGGGTCAAATTCAATTTTTCAGTGTAAACATCTTTTGCCCCGCAGTTAAGTACTAGATGTATGTATGGGAAGCCGGGACTCATATTTCTGGCAACCACATGCAAAATCAAAAGAAGACATGAATCTCTTGTAACTAGTATCTTTTTCAAAACAATTAGAAGGTTGAGCCTTATATAGCCATATATTGTAATACATGTAAATGTCCGTATTTCATAAAAGCGTATAGTAAATAGATGTACAAGATAACATACTTCTCACTGTTGTAACAGAGGTCGAGCTGGTTGAAGGAGACCTGTCGGTTGATGCAGCATCTCGCAAAGAAGACGCGGAAACTGTGTATCCTGTGTATCCTGTGAATCCTGTGGCGGTCGTCAATGTGCTGGATATAATGTAGAACGTCAACGCCAAAGAACAACCAGTCTCGATCATCTCCAAAAGCAGATGCCATTTGGCTCAAAAAGCAAAACAGACTTGAAAACTAAACGAATGCATCACTGAAAATAAGTGACAGCACCAGTTGTTCGCGAAACGGGTACGCATGTCCTGCGCTACGGGTAGCTCGCACCATTCACATAATGTGCATAGAAGGGTTAAATGAGTTCTTTTTCAGTTAGTATGATCAATATGGATCGAGTGGTCTGTTAAATACATAACCAGGGGCATGCGTTTGATACAGACCTAATAGTTGACCTTTTTCTTGATGCATCAGGTCTGATTTGAACCCTCGGAGAACATGCTATCTTGAACTTTGATTCTGTCAAAATAGTTAATATTATACTAGAGTTACAGTCAATTTGGTATTTGTACAGCAAAATTATTATCTGTTGATCATAAACCTAAACGTTGGCAATTTACTTTGAAACACTAAGCTTTCCTGGTGTGTATAATGTTTTAAAATGTACACGTGTTTAACCTTACTTTTTGCAGTATTTCGAATACCAATGCAGATATCTAGTGTGCCAAGTCCTGTGAGGTTCAACAGAATCTCTTGGGTTGAAGCAAAAGTTTCAGTGAAACTTCTATCCTGGAGACAGTGTAGACTGTAGATGGCAGCATTGGTAGTAGATAGTCGTTCATAGAAGTTCAGTTTCACTGTACAGTCACTGATGACAGTACCTGGCAAAGCAAAGATCTCCATCTCGCCGGAAAACTGAGAGATGGTGCAGGAACAAACCTCATGTTCATGAACCATTGTGTTGGCGTTGATGAAGAGGGACGTCGTTGTCACTTCACCACTCTGACACATCGTGACAACTGTCATGTATGAATGTAAAATATCAGGGTTGTTAAATCCAAACATAGTGGTTATATATATTCATAGTCGCATACGAAGTGGGGTCAGAGTAACGATGACAGTACTATTCATGAAAGTGCCAACAGATTGTATACATTAAATAACATGGCAAAGAAGGAGCATGACTTAGCAATCTTTTAAAAGACGTATACTTGATGGGGTAAAGAATATAAGAGATCTATTTGTTTTAAAACGTGGCAATAAATAAGTCCAGCCAGAAGGTTGCGCTGTTTAAAACTTGTCGGGGTCAGCTACATTTTCAGTGATAACCAGATGTCTTACTAGCTACCAAGGCTTAACAGGAAGCTACTGCTTCGTAGCTTCGTATTCTTATTCTAAATATATGAAAACACGATATCATGTGGAATCATTACTATTGAACGTACACTTTATGTAGTATTTCCTTTCGAATGCAATCATGCGCTGTCATATAGATACATGGTGTATTTAGAACTATATGCTTTCATAATGTTAGAGATGAAATGATATTGAGTATATGGAATTTACAAACCTGTAGAAGTATTTTGAAAACAGCCGCCTGCAAAAGGAAACAGTTGCCCAACGGACACATTATCTTATTACAACATCACAGCTTTACAACTATTTCACATAAATGTCTCTACGACGTCGCTTCGACGCCCTACGATGCCTTTACAACGACTCTACAACGGACCTATGTCTACGTCATACAGTGCATCTGCAACGTCTCTATAACGCCTCCACAAACGCCTATACAAAATGCATCTAAACGCCTCTCCAATGCTTTAAAAAGGCCTGTAACACGCCTCTACAATGCCTCTACAACGCCTCTATAACGTTTTTACAATGCTCCTACATCGCCACGAAAACGCCCATACAACGCGTCTACAAAGCCTCTACAACATATCTACAACATCCATAAAAACATTTATAACGCCTCTACAACGACCCTACAACGACAATGCAACGATTCTACATCTCTACAAAACCACTACAATGCCTTTTCAACGCCTATACAACGTCTCTACAATGCTTCACAAACGCCTGTACAACATCTCTACAAGGTCTCTACAACGTCTCTAAAACGAATCTACAACGACTCAGGTACGACAAAGTCTTTATAACGACTCTACAACGACCCTAGAGAGACCCCACAGCAACTTTACAACGTCTCTTCCATAACACTACAACGCCTCTACCTCGACTTTACAACGCTTATACAACGTCTCTATAAAAACACAATAACGTCTCAAGAACGCCTGTACCACGTCTCTACCACGCCTGTCGAACGTATCAACCACGCAACCACGTGAATAAGACTTCTCTATGATGTCTCTATAACGCCCCTAAAAGTCTCTATGACGCCTTCACAACGCCTCTACAACGTCTTTCAAACGTCTCTACAGCGCTTCCACGACGACTCTATATTGGCTCTACGTCTCTACAACACATCTACAACGTCTCTGCAACGACTCTACGAAACCTGTACATTGAAACACCCCCCCCCCCCCCCCCCCCCCCCCCCCATGTTTTTAAAACGTTGACGTCACATTGTGACGAGAACAAGTTATACATTATTAATATATATACTTAACATAATAACATGCCGTTGATGGACAGTCCAACAGCTGGACTAACAGAACTTTTATATGAAATATAAACCAAAGAACTATCATTCAACAACACAATACCAGGGACTGTGACATGAGAGAACAACGTCGCTCTGTAAAAGGTTTTGTTACCAATTCACATATGTTTTCAAAAAAAAGGTTTAAGGTACACTTTAGTATTTCGAAAACTGCAGTTATAATGTTAAAATGATGTATTACATATTTTATTATCACAGTGCAATGAAGCATCATTAAGTATTATCCAAGACATGTGCTTCTAAATTATTCAGTATATATGCATAGTACACTCCCTGTGTGTTCTTCATCAACTAATTTAATCTGTAAGTTGTATAGATGAATTTCGGTAACAATGCTATTATTAACAGTAACCTGTGACCAACCTCTCACAACAGGAACCATGATGATGAGAAATAGTCTCACCAAGGTGGAAGTGCGACCCATTCCCGATGCCACACAATCCAGAGAGCATCCACGCCACATCATGTACGGCTGTGATTGACCACGTGGATCAACACTGGTGTTGACGTCCTGCAGTGAATGTCGTTAATGGTCCAGGGTAAACTCACAACTTCCCAAACAAGGATGCATTTTCCATCTGCGTGCCGTAGTCATGCTCTGTATGCAGTAATCAGGATACATGCATGAAGCTCTTTTTCCGTGATACTTTGTACAAACGTACTGAATGTGAAACGAGGAGTCATAAAACCGTTTTGAGCCTGGCATTCATAAAACTAAAATATTGCCATCAGGTTTTATTATTCTTTATCATACATTACACTTGTTCCGTCTCCCACAATGTTGCAAAACAAATATATATTTCTTAAGCGATTTTTCTTTACTGACAAGCAGCGGAATCTCTGTACTTGTACACACACACAGACGTAATTTATATTTACATAATTTAGTTTCAACAAGATAAGCAAATGCTCTGAACTTTCTGGATCACCGATCACTTGATTGTCTGGTTTGTGTACAAGCCACCGTCGCATGTTATGACTACTGCTGTGCGGCTTCAGGCAATAAATACTTATTATTTATGCAAATTGTGTGATTCGTGGGTGCTAGCGGTAGGGCAGGCCATGCTTACCCTTTTCGCGAACACCTAGTGTCATCACTGATTTTACAGTGGGCCATTCGTATAATTCATTTTCACAGCTCCTTTACCCTTAACGCCAAATAGAATCTGTTTCGACGAGGAACCAAAACTGGCTCTTACCTTGCATTCACATTTTATAATATTCTCCAAGTCATGATCAGCTGCCCTTGTTTTCATGTTCATGTTCAGATACCAACCCTTCACAGCAGCGTTAAATCTCTGACCATGCAAGTTAAAAAAAAACTTAAACAGGTGGTAGTCACTTGGGGCCACGTCTCGTGGACTGGGTTCAAGCTTGTATCCACATTCCAGAACAGCAGCGATTGCAGCATGAGTGCTGTGAACTGGAGTATTGTCCTGATGGATCAGAGCATCACATCGAAGTGTGTCACGACGCTTCACTTTCCAATAAGTTGGCTAGTATCCACCATTTATTGTTGTTTCCCTTGGTATATAATCGAAGTGGATTGTGCCTTTGTTGTCCAAAAGAAGGTTTCGATAACATTCTTTGTGGATCTATTTGCTTTCAACTTCTTGGTGTTAGGAGACTTTTTTTGTACTCCATCCAATATTGCTTGCTTTCGGGATCATAGTGATGAATAAATCTCATCCCCTGGCACTAGATTAGGTGAAAGTCTTCTGGATTGCCCCTAACGATCCCTACTTATTGAGTGTAATGTGCCAGAATAGATGACATCAATGAACCAGTATGGACGTCATCAGTGTTTTCTTTTGTGATGCTTGTTTCGGGTCTACGAGAGAGAGTGAAAGTAGGTGTGGGTTTGTGAGTGAGTGTGCGTGCGTGCGTGCGTGTGCTGGGGTTATGCTTTCAAAAACAATTTGGCCTTAGGTGCACATGATGATTGTCCTCAAAGAGAATGTTGAGGTTCTCTCCGTTTGGATCAACTTTTGCAGGTCTTGAGGTAGTGATAGGAAACATTTCCTGTTTCTAACAAAAACAACATGTTTACACATGAGTATATATCACACACCGATACCCACAGAGCTCAGAAATAAATCACAGGGGTATACATGCGTATATATTGTATATCACACACTGATACCCAGAGAGTGAATAAATAGATCTCATGGATATATATCACACACTGATTCCCACGGAGTTAATACATAAATCATATGTGAAAATCACATGAAGTAAAGAAGAACAATGATGTGTCCAAAGAAAATATTGTATTTATTCAGCATTTCCTTTGTGGAATGTATAATCAATATAAATGAATGCATGGGGGTTATTTGTTATTGTTACTGTACAGAAAATAATAAATTAAACAAAATGCACATGAGATAATGGTAGGTAGTTGCGGTACGGGACAGTTGCGTGAGTGGGCAAGAACTACTCTCCTCGGAGTCATGATTGATATCATTGGCTTATTACAAGTATAAAATTCTGTGACATTTGAATAAACAAAAGAGTATCAAATTGACGTTTAGTCGCGACGTTGAACAATGTCGTGAAGGCCTGGAAACAGTATCCTCATTGCTTGTGTCAGTTTGATTGTTGTAGGCAGCATGTGTTGCACTGTGCAATAAATGAACATGTCCTGTTCCGAATACAGGGCATATGGAATGGAAAATGTGATAGTAGTATAAATAACATCGGAGAAATAAACTACTGTACATGATACAAATATGAATCTTTGATATCGGAGAATAATAAATCTCAATTATCCACCGAAACAGATTCCATATGGCGAAAAAGGCAAAATAAAGATGATAACTAAAGGGCTTGATTACTGGAAATGAGCGTACACCTCTGAAAGCAATACACCAACAACATTTGGACGTGTGAGGTAAAAGAGCGGACACCGAAAGTCAACGACGACTCAAGGCGCCCACGGAAAGGATAAATATATACCCCACCGGCTGCAACCGCAGGAATGCGTTTTCTAAATATTATGTTTTAGAGTCGTCCTACAGCGGGTTAATCAAAACGACGTGCGTAATGTCATATCACCGTGTCATATCACAATTCTCACAGAATAGCTTTTAATAAGATTCCGGAGTGAAGAAGGTCTGTTTAAACCAAGTTTCATTTCAATCAACTCAACGGAAACGTTTTTTGGTGTGTAACTTAGATCATTTACAGATGACACATTGATATTAATTCAACGGTAGCCTGAAAAGTGCAACCGTTTTTGTGCCTAAGGACATATATCTGTGTGGAGGTAAGCTCTAGCAGGATCCGCCGGCTGATGGTTCAAGTACCAAATGCCAGGAATTCAACTGCAGCCCGTAAAGTGTGACCACTGGATTGCCAGTGGTTGAAGGCGCTTCATCCTTCGGTGTGAAGGTTAGCTGTACCAGGATCCTCTGGTCGAAATGTTAAGTACCAAACCGATTTATCAGCACAACGCCAGGGTTTTACCAAAGGGATGTATGGCTGTCTTATCACGTTATGCAGACATGCTACGTCATAATATTGTTTTAACCAAAGTAATCACTCAATCTCTATAAAGCAGGATTACACGAGACAAGTTTCAATGTCACCATTACACGCCCAAACGATGCGGTGCTCTTCGTGCTAACCTTGCTAAGGTGTTCACAATCGATAAAGTCTCTGTGTGGAACCTTTCCTTCCACCAGGTGAACAATACGACATACGCTTTGAGCATTCTCTGCTAGGTTTAGTGACTAGTGTATACATCATCTCGACTTGATCCTGGTCTAACTCAGGGTCAGCGTCATTGACTGAGGGCTCCACGGTGTCAGGTTCTTCAGAAACGAAGGAGGATGCATTAGACACGTTGTCTTGGGGACGTGGTTCCCACTGTGGAAGAGACATCAGTTCCGGGCATTCACCGTACAAGGGGTTAAGGACTTGGATATGTGGGATGGACCCTTCCGGGCTGACCAGAGAGGCAGCTATGGACTTTATTCCTTCTTCGTCTAAATCGTCATCATCACCCTTCTGATGTCGGCACCTAACGAAGTGAAACACAAGAACGGTATTACACGGCTGTAGAAGGGCTGAAAAGAGGTGACAAACTGTTTGATTTTGTTCTAGAAAGAAACAATCTGGGTTTGACTATTAACATACTTGCTTCGTCCAATCGTTAGTTAGATAAGGTACATGCTGCATGTCACTGTTGTATATTGTATATCTGACTTGACACTGACCTGCAACACAGCACGATGACTGTCAAGACCAGGATAACAATTACTCCAACTGATAGGCCAACCGCTAACTCAACCACTGGAAATATATTAAGTTTCAGATGTAGTGACATACAGTCAACACGACTGTTAACACATTTTGTTTGTTGTTTATTGTTGTTTAACGCCACACTCAGCAATAGTCCAGCTATGACGGCGGCCTGTAAATAATCAAGACTGGACTAGACAGTCCAGTGATTGACATCTTGAGCATCGATCCACGCAATTTGGATACGATGACATGCATCAACCAAGTCAGCGAGACTTTACGGCAAGCATTGGCTGCTGAAGACCTGTTCTACCCCGGATCTTCTCGAGTCTACGAACACAACGAATATTAGCTTTGCTGCTTACAGAAATGTTTACACTGGTATAATCAATATTGTATAGTGATTCGCAAACACATGCTCATGATATTGTCGGAATCGTACAATCGACTCACTAATTAGCAGCAAAGTTTTCTTGTGGACATGGAAAAGGTTTTTGCCACTTTTGTGTTATATATAAGTAACGAATTCATTTCGAGGGCTGTTGGTTAAAGTGCAATAAATATCGTTTCAAAACTGAAATAGTCAAGTGCTTTCTTTGAATGACCAATTGCAATTATAAGTAAAACCTATATCATACAGATGAACCACTATTGTCGAAATGGCAATATTAAAAACGTGGAATGTATTATAGTTAACAACTGTTTTACCAGGGAAACGTATGCCTGGAGACTTGATATCAGGGTTCGTGTCGTTATCTGCAGTGGGAGTACTTTTAGCAACCGCCGGTCCAAGTGTTATTAGGGATGGGACAGTAGTTTCCGGCTCAGATGGTGGTGAAAGCGATACAAACTTTGCTGTTGATGGTCTCTGTGACATTTCTCTTGTCGTTACAAACACACTTGTTGCTGTATCTGGAGAAGTCGTTGATGAAAGGGATGTAATTCCTGATGCAGTTGTCGTATTAGTTGACGTTGTTGTTGAACCAGTGGGCGGTGTTGTGGACGTTACTACAGGTTCCGTCTTGGATAGCGTTGTTCTGGTTTGTGCCTTCGCTGAAGATAAAGGTGTAGTTGTTGATGTTGAATATATAGGTGGTGATGTAAATCTTATTGATGTTAAAGATGTTGATGGTGAGGATGTAGTTATGATTGTTGTCTTCGATGATGCGGTTGGCGTAGCTACCGTAGTCGTGGTGTTTACAGCCGCACTAACACCAGACGAACAATCGAGCCGGAGAGCAGTCGCTGCAATAACAAATGATTACTTGAGACAGGCAACAAATGATACCATAGAATTATGTTACGACGAAGACGTTGAAATGCAGGGGGCGTATTAACAACACATTACAGTTTGAGGCTATTCTAAGAAATACCAAAAGTTACTCTTCACTCCAAGAATTTTCTTAAGTCATAACTAAATTTTCATAAACACCTTTAGCACAAAGGGAACTCTTAAAATTAACCCTTCAAAATAGCAGATATTCACAGACAAGGATATGCCACATGCGAACTTTCAGGGACTATATGGTTGTGTTTGAACTGAATAAAGTGACTGCAAGACAATATTTCATTTCAATACAATATGTGACAACTATTTCATACTCCTCCATGGCTCTAAAACTAAATGCTAGAGTTTTATCATGTTCATATCGTTACTGATGCATATTAGTTTGACTTGATCCGGACAGTCAAATTATGCATTAAACACTTTTAGGGATGTATCTACTTCCCATAAACATACCTTTATCTTTTGTTTTAATATGTAAACAAAATTGGGCGACACCTTGACCTGTAATATTCAGTTTCAATGCCTGCGAACTGGTCAGATTGCTGGTAGCGGAAGATGTCGTGCCTTGGCAACCAACTAGGCTGTATTTGAGAACATCAAAACTGATCCGTGCTTGGCAGTTCGTCTGGTCTATTTTTATCGGGTATATCTCTATTGAGCTACTAGTAGCGTTGACAATACGTAGACTACATGAACACCCGACGAACTGTCCTGAGTGTAGGGTGTAGTCCAGGTACATGCTGGTTCCCTCCTTGATGTCACCCCGACACATTCCTACAACTGGAACACTGATTGTAATTAGCATCGCCACTCAATTAACGCTATATTATGCCGTCTATAAATAATCGAGTCTGGGATAGACAATCCTGTGCAACGATCCCTACAACCTGGACACGATGACACTGTTAATAATCAGATCATACATGACAATTGTGTCAACAATTCCTCAAATGGGTGAGCAAGAGGGCACACACAAGAAATTATCTCGACTCAATTTCACCATCTTGGGAGTCGAACTCGAGTCGTCAGCATCACCACTAGCTTTAACCACTAGCTATGACCCTCTCAAACAATCTTGATACACATGAACGCACAGTGTGCCTTTATTAGTCCCAGTTTCAAAATGACAAATATATACAAATTGAAGGTAATGTCAGTAACTTAAACAAATATTACAGTTTATTTTAAGTGATAGTATTGTTTGATAACCATTACTTAGAAGTTGACGGATGACAAACTAGACAAAATTTATGGATAACAACCTTTTTACAGTATGAAAGAAGCTGCTATCCATAAATTGGGTCAACGAAGTGATAGTAGTTGTCTTGTGTATGTACAGCTTAACACATTGTGACATATGGTATAACACACCTGGTATCAGATCCTTCTTGGGACACGCAGACACTGCAAACATAACGATCGCACATGAAATCAGTATAATGAATACAGGTATTTAACAATACAGCAGACGCATGACCTTGGGATAAGCACATGCAACAACACTATATGTATGCTGATATAAATACACTGTGAGGAAGGCACGGGTGGCCCAGTCGTCTAAGGCGCCAAGATTCGATGTGCAGAGTTGCGTCACTTGGGCACGCCAGAAACCTATGATTGTGGGTTCGAATCCCGGTTGGCCCAAATTATGTTCTAGGTTTGTCAGCACAATACCCGTTTTCGTGGGTTTCACCGAAGTGGTAAACGTCTGAGACCTGCATCACTTCGGGCTTTCCTCTCACATTAAGCTGACACGCCGTGATATAACTGGAATACTGTTAAAAGCTACGTTAAACCCAACTCACTCACTCACTGTGTGTTTTTATGACTTCAATAGTCTGGTTGTATTAAAGGATTGTGTTTACATTGCTGTTCAATAAGGACCTGGGTTAACATAATGAGTTATCTTTAAGAAACTATTTGAATTATGACAAATCTGTAATTAATTAAAACAACGGCATAATACCCACACTCTTTCTCATATGTAGCCGGTGCCGGCGGTGTCGCAGTTGTTGTTCTTGTAGAGGTGAAGGAACCTGTCGTCGATGACATTGCTGAAACATTCAGGTGGTTACTCATATCAATATTCTTTGAGCATACATATATTATGTTTTGTTTGATTGGTTGGTGTTTTGCAATTTCCACGTGCTTTGTATTTCATATTGTTTTATTTATTTGTTGTTTAACACTGCACTCAGCAATATTCCAGCTATATGACGGCGGTCTGTAAATAATCGAGTTTGGACAAGACGATCCAGTGATTGACACCATGAGCATCGATCTACGCAACTGGGATACGATGACATGCATCAACCAAGTCAGCGAGCATGACCCCCTGATCCCGTTAGTCGCCTCTTACGGCAAACATGGGTTGCTGACGATCAATCCTAACCCGGTTCTTCACGGGTCGTATTTCGTATTGTAATCATACTTAATGTTTTCAATATTATATTTAATGTGGTTGTGGGTAATAACAAGCATAGCAAAATTATAAAAGAATTAGAGTCCTTTGGACTATGGCGCCGTAATTCCCTTTGAAATGTTGCACCCCTTAAGCTGACCAGGGTCGTGGGTTAGAATTCCAGATTGGCCTGATGATTTGTCAATACCTTGAAATAACTGAAATACATTTCAAGTCGGTATAATACCAAATCACTTACTTAAAATCATAATTAGATTGCTCATGGCACTAGTCTATGTGGTAACAATAATAATAACCATCTCTTTGTATTATTTTGCAGGAAAACTTTTTATCTTTCTATCATTTCATTATCAATTGCCAGTGTGCACGAAGTGGAAAAAGTCATCGTGACAGGAAGTTTTCAACGAATTATCATACAAACCAGTCATATCATATCAACACCTACTTTTCATAAATGTGGGTGTGCCCGCGTTAAGAGGAAAGTCATTAAACATCGTGAAGTTTAAATACAAAGGATTTCCTTATTAATTCAACCGTGTAGGGTGTTGATCATTTGTCGAAAGGTTTCCTTGTTGGGCCTTTGTCAACCTCTGCGCATACACGTATATATTGTAGTCTCATTATAGGGGCGACTGGGTAGGCGTGAAGTTTATTTGTTTGCCCGTCACGGAGAAGGCGTGAGTTCGATTTCCCACATGGATACAATATGTAAAAACCCATGTCTTGTGTTCCCCTGTCGTGAAATTCCTGTAAAACTGCAAAACTTAAAACGCATTCACTTGTATTGCTATATTATCAATGTAGAATTCCTGAAAAGAGTGAGTGAGTGAATATGGTTTTACGCCGCTTTTAGCAATATTCCAGCAATATCACGGCGGGGGACACAAGAAATGGGCTTCACACATTGTACCCATGTCGGGAATCGAACCCGCGTCTTCGGCGTGACGAGCGGACGCTTTCACCACTAGGCTACTCGGCCGCCCCCCCTGAAAAGAGGCAGAGGTATTGCCTTCTGAGCGAGGATTAACAGAGCCGTGCAGATGTTTGTATGTGGATGTCATGCAACCTTGCTTGAATAACTTTGAAATCTTGGTTTCAAAGGTCGGGCCTTTGACAAGCACCCGCAAGATGTTGATATTCAAGTTATATCCTCTCAATGCAGGGTTTCAATACAATGCGGGAACACGGGTGGCCCAGTCGTCTAAGGCGCCGCGATTTGCTGTGCAGAGTTGCGTCCCCTGGGCACGCCAGAAACCTATGGTTGTGGGTTCGAATCCTGGTTCGACCCGATTGTTTCTAGGTTTTTCAGCACAATACCCGTGCTCGTGGGTTTCACCGAAATGGTTAACGTCTAAAACCTGCATCACTTCGGGCTTTCCTCCCACATTAAGCTGACACGCCGTGATAGAACTGGAATAATGTTCAAAGCGGCGTTAAACCCAACTCACTCACTCACTCACTTCGATACAATGCCTTGTACGTGTATCTGTATCAAGCAAGGTGAGAAACTAGATATGATACGATTATGCATCTTTCCGAAGCAAGCGTGTCCACAAGTCTATATCAAAGCCTAGAAAAGATGCGATTACGCAGATACTGTTTCTTCAGCTTCTGTTGTCTTCATTTCACAACTTACGATCGAACATACTCTTTCTACGATTATTTCAAAAATCGACATACGACTCTTGCTCAAAAGATGTTTGATCAGGGTTACAACATTCAAGGCCTTCGTAAAGCGTATAAATAAATGTGGTATGCATGACGAAGACATGCCATTGCATGTGTTTGTGACCCGTGCCACCTGTGGGGCAGGATACGCTCACCTTTACGCGAACACCTGGTATCATGCCTATCATATGGTCGGAATCGTTCAATCACCTCTGCTTTTTGCACATTTTCCTATGACTATAGAAACCGTATTTGTGGCTTTTGTTTGTCATTAAAGTAAACGGTTTTTTTCAAAGAAAGGCGTGACATTTGGTAACTTTCCTCTCAAATAGCGCAATTGTTTCATCATCATTCTTTTCGTTAATTGCTAATTAAATGAGCCAATTCATAAACCTTATCAAAGGTTCCTAAAACGGTTGAAAAACGTTCATAGCACGTGCTCCAATCAGATATATAGTAACTCGGTTTTCATCTTGTTTAATCTTACTACTGCCGGTTACCCTAGCTACATGGTCAGAGAGTGAGTGAGTACGCTTTCAGCAATATTCCAGCAATATCTGGGTTTCACACTTTGTACCCATGTGGGAAATCAAACCCCGGCCTTCGACGTGACGGTGGAACGCTTTATCCACTAGGCTACCACACTGCCTCCCTAAGTACATCGCAACACCATGCCTAATACAGACAAGGGACATATGCTTTTGTTAATTAATTATGTCGTAAAACAAATGATGGTAAAGCAAATCTCAGTACAGTAATGAATGCAGAATCTATAACCCCTAATGTTTATTATTATTTTCATAAAATATTATTTCAAACGGTCAGATAAACATTTTTTAATAAATTGTTTATTGCAGATTAGTTTGAAGGGGCAGACTGAAGTTCCTGTCAGGAGCATTTCAACACAGAAATATGTACAATATATCTTCCAAAACTCGTAAGTAACATATCAATGGCAAACCTTTATCCATGCGAGATTAAAATAAAACTTTAAGAAAAAGGAACTTCTCTTACCTATGCTGCTTCCGACACTCAAAATGAAAATATGTGAGACAAGTTTTAAAGCCCAGTCGCCCATCTTGTTACCAACGAAGCTATACACGCATGTGTGCAGATCCAATTGTGGTGGCTATGAGATCACCATTATCAGTTTCTGTTGTGTTGGAGCGTGTCCACAGCAGGCGGATGTTAAATGGCCAAATAGGGTGTGACCAGTTAGCTCTAGGTCGATAATCGTATGACGCATAATCTACATATTTGTACATATTACAAATTATTAATCACTGGACTGTCTGGTCAAGACTCGACTATTTACAGACCGCCGTCATATAGCTGGAATATTGCTGGAGTGCGGCGTTAAACAACAAACCAACCAACCAAATCCTGAAATTTGTCTGTTGTGGTTGCCATGCGACGTGTGATGAGTTGTCGATGACCCATGCTCATATCAAGCATTTTTTTCAAGTTTGTGGGGGCAGTTTAAAGTCGTCCTGATCTTGGATCACCTTCGAAGCTCTCGCTGTCTCTCTCCCTCTTGAACTCCGCTGTCCAATCTGGCATAGAAAGGAGCATCATCCCCTAATTTGTAAAGTTGACACCATTTCCGAATGGATGGTCGTTGGAGTTAGCTCTTTCAGGTGGAGATAATTGATGAGAAAGCGGCAGCAATGCCCTTTTCCCATAGTACTTAATATATGCAAGCCGTTTAGGGTGTACTATGCATTATGATGCCCAATATACCATTTCGATCCTTATTTCGTCTTGACGGGAGATATGATGAGCCCTGTCCAATCAATCGGCTGGTCATGCAAGGCTCTGTGCATCAATATTGTGTTGCACAAGTTTGTTAAACTTTTGAAATGATTTGTCAAAATGATGTAATGATTTGTTTTTGTCTTGACCAAATGTCACATTAGATGAATTCGAAATGTATGCTTTCAAGCATGTAATTTGAGTCATATGGCCAGAAGGCGCTGGCCCATAGGCCAATGTGGTGGGTCTTTTAGTTTTTTCTGCTTGAGTATATCATCCGAGTATCCTTTTGTTGTCGGGGATCCATTCGTTTATAGCATTGTCTTTATGGTACTCCATGTTGGATCCCGAGCTCGGATGATGAAACCTAAAAACTAAACATGGATTAAGAAACTCCCCAAAGAAAGCCAACCGTCCACTCGACACTGATCATGATAAAGAAATTAGACCGTCCAAATCCTCTGGATGCCGGCAACGTTCACTGGTTATTGAGACGCCTCTCACATTTAACCAGTTTGCAATATCTAAGGATATTCAAGGCATAGCAGGCGAGGTCAAACACAGCAAAATGTTACACTATCCTAATAGAATGTACCAGGAAACCGCAATCTACCACCCTCTTGTCAACATATATGTTTCTTGGAGTCCCTGTTATGATCTCTGCTCACAGAACACTGAAAACAGAAGCAAATTTATTGTGAGAGACAGGATAATTATTCACTGATGTGACTGAGATTGATATTGTTAACTTTCCAAAATGAGAGACCAAGAAGTCATATATGTCAAAAGGTTCACCATCCCGAAAAGAAGTCAACACACTGCCAAACAGACTTGACAAGCGTTAACTCGGATCATCGTGAAGTTTTCTCAACTGAATTATGTTTCATAAATAAATACCTGAACATGTCTGTCTAAGGTCTGGAATATGGTGCAAAGGATAAAGGGTAAAGGATCCAAATCTAGTGTTAACCTAAGGTGACATATTATTAACTGATAAATCTGATATAGCAAATAGATTAGATTAATGAATTAATGTAATAAACCGTACTTATCCGGGTTGGTTATTCTCTTTCTTACCAATAATAAAATTTAGTGCAAACGTCTCTTAATCTTATTTCTAACTACTTTCGAAATTTCTTACAGACACGCCCTCACACCAACTCCCTCCATCCCCCCACCCACACACTATAACTCCCTCCTTTTATACATTTCAGCACATTAACATTGAGTCATAATTTGGCTCAGAACATTGTGTAAAATTGACAATCATTAAAAAACGTTATAAAGAAGATTCTTTTCAACTACCTTGACTCAGTCATTATACTTAAAGACATCAGTAACACAGACCCTGAAACAAAGGCATCCAAAACAGTCCAATATTTTCTAGCATCAGGTCTGTGATACGTTCACTGCAACAGTGTTGACATTAAAATGATATTTACATATATCAATATATACAGAGGAAATGCTTAGCATTTATCTTTAAGGAAGTGTGCCGGAGTTGCTTAATACATATATATGTGAACATATACATGTATGTATGGACATTTGGATGGAAAGAGATAAACCTTCTTATGGGTATATATTTGCGTTGTATTACAACGTTAATTAATCAGTATATATTTGTTTTGCGCAAAAAAAATAACTCATATACACTCACAGACACTCTGAATATATATAAAAAAACGTAATTGTCTTTTGATATATATCGATAGAAACACGGAGAGTCTGTCTGAAGAAACCTGATGAAATCTAAACTTGTATGGGATCATTTGGATAGTTGTACTTCACGGTGAGACTAAAGCTTAGTCTCTGAGTGTACACTATTTTGATAAATGGGGTGGAAATTTAAGCCTGAACCTGTTGAGCATCTAGGCTTGTTTCATTTGGGGCTACAGCTTGACAGTAGGGACTGCGCGGAAGGGAAAATAATATGGTTCAGGGACTGAGTCTGTATCGTCGTCGTGATCTTTAGAGCTATGCAATTTGAGCCATCTGAGACAGTGACTCGACACTGGTTTGCACCCATCAGATACCAGTCACTACTGTCGCTACGTCTCTCTCCAAACGAACAATGTCGGAAGTGTATATTTTTAAACCTGCTAATTTACTATTCAGATACATGTTTTAACTTTTAAGTAATTATATGTAACTCGTGTTCAAAAATGTATTATTGCTATCTGTGATGCTGGAACAGTTTTTGTCGCCAATGTGTAGCTTTTGTGGAGTTCTTATGAATATCAAATACATGTATTGAAATATGAACTTGTAAAAGAGCTCATGATCATTGAACCATATGCAGTCGAACCCATTTAATTGGCGTGTACCAGTATGTTATCCATCTACTTATACACACGTATTCTGCACATATACAGAATTCCATTGTTCAATATTCAAAATGTACCCGTGAAGATCCGTGTTAGAATAGGCCTTTAGCAACCTATGCTTGTAAGAGGCAACTAACAGGAACGGGTGGTCAGGCTCACTGACTTGGTTGAGTCATGTCATCGTATCCCAATTGCGTAGGTCGGTGCTCTTGTTGTCAATAACTGGATTGTCTTGTCCAGACTCGATTATTTACAAACCACCGTCATATCGCTGGAATAATGCTGCATACGGCGTTCAACAACAAACGATCAAACAAAAACTATTATTGAACACACTATTATCCAACACTGAGAAATTATACTTGTTATTCTCTATATCTTTAGTTTTATTAATGAAATAATTAGATTAATATTTTAATCGTTTGCGTTGATATCTATTCTGCACATGTTCCAACCCCTAAACTTTGAATATAGTCCTAGGCCAAATGCAAGAAAAGTGCCTTTCTTTTGGGATGTCACAGAAGCAGTACAAGGGTTTTATCCATTGATTTGTATGACACCTCCCACCCTCCAGAAATTCCTATCAGTACGGAAATAGTTCCAGAATGTATCAGGTTACTACTATTAACAAACAGGGTTTTCCCCATTGTTTGACCCCCACAGCCCGTTGGTTGGATATGTGGAGCACAGTTTCTGATGGAGGTTTTTTTAATGTCTTTCAATTTCAGTAGTTAATTTACGGTTACTTTATCTTAGTTCAGAAAAGTGCACTCGATATTTCCTTCTTTTACACCGACTGAGATAGGGTTCGAATTATATTTTCATTTTTACCCTGTATGTACAAAGAACTTTCCTGTGCCTTTGGTTGCATTAACATCTGGAGAGTGTCCTTGAAGAGAGAGTCTTATTTAGACTTCATTGTCTCTTTGAAAGCTCGTGCTAGGAAATCTGAATTACATTTAATATTGTGTTTTTTTCTAAGAATAGATTGAGTTGGGATACCCATCCTATTCGTTTATTCACCAAAGTTATTTTGTACATTTTCCCGAGGCAAGGGCGTTAACTGACTATAAAAGTCCACTCTCCACCCTTGCCAAACTATGCTGGAATTACCAGACTAGATCGTAGCGCTTTTGCGAGTTATGTCCCTTCTATGTCCCTCCTACTGACTAATCAGATTCCACCTCTCATATCGCTTGCGATTGTTTCAAACAAAATGGCGGCGTCATGTCAAGTCGATCTGATCGATAATACATAGATCCGACCTGGAGCCATTTAACCGGTAGGGCGTCATCTTGTCCCCCAAGAGCTAACGATATCCAAGTGAACAGGCTTTACAAATCCTTCAATCATGGATCACTATACTTCAAATGTAATATGGGCACCCGTCAAGGATGTAGCCAATCTCATTAAAATCAGATCTTAGTTTTCGCTATCGCTAAACAAAGATCTGAGGACATCCCATTACGGGTTACGTCAGAACGACCTTTCGCGAATTTTAACCGACCAATGAAATGACTGACAAGAAATCGACATTGGCCAATCAGAAGGCAGCTTTCTCGAGCTTCACGACACTAGTTTCAAACTGGCGACTGCGCTTCGAAGCATATTTTGACGTATTCTCGAATAAACATTTTAAAACAAATAAGAAGAACATTCTGGAATGGCTTAAAGATGACACAGATTGTATGGATATAATCATAAAACCTGTTACTGTCGTTCGGAATACCCCGTGTTAAATATATCGTGGTTGCATGATTAGAAAACACATTCCGACTGTCACTTTCATGATCTGGTAAGCGACGCACTGATTGGTTCAACTTAGATGAAATGTCGTTCTGACGTGACCCCTAATGGGGTGTCCTCAGATCTTTGTTTAGCGATAGCGAGAACTAAGATCTGATTTTAATGCGATTGGGATGTAGCCTGTGCCCCCATATTTCCATCAACCCTCTTGCTACAATGTAGGAGAGGTACATATACATGTAGGTGGGAGAGGTCATTTTATATTTCCTCATATTTCTGATGTGTTTTCATTATTATTTGGAGATGATGTCCCATCTGTATTTGATACAGCGTTACAGCTTTACATTACGTATGTTCATATACATGTTACACGTTTCATATAAAATTGGGATGTTCTAGGTCTGGATATATGCCAAATTCGCATGGTGTCTGATCAGGTAAAAAAACCCAGTCCAAACATAAAGCAACAATCAGGCTCTTGATAAATCCCGCGTATCGAAACTGAAAATAGACGAATACTGACTCCTATTGTATTTTGTATGGCCTAAGCTGAATATATATATTGTATGTGAGGAGCTTCACCTATTGAGAGGCATGTATAGCCAAATAGATAGTCTCCACAGAGTTCGTCTTTTCCCCTTAAAATTCTATTATAAAATGAATGAAAGGATAAAGACTGATAAGACTGTGATACCAACTGAATTATACATGGTCTCTCACGAATGAAATCCAGTTTGGTAGATGTGTTTGCTTAACATGATCAGCATTGAATCTCACACTTCCGCATGTCTCAAAGCTGAAACTTTGTGCATGTCAAATGTTGATCCTGTAGACTTATCTCCTGCGATAAAATTCGGGATACGACTAACAGTGATTTCAACGTTGCTTCATATCTGTAACAATAAATTAAAATGTGAGACAAAAGTCTGTCACATGCTTAAATTTGCCACAAACTGTTAATTTAATAATGATATATATACCAGAGGTGGCTTTTGTTTTTACAGTTAGCAGATTTTGTCTTCAAACGCACTTAGGATGAACAGCCGTGGCATAATTTTGTTAATAAACAATTACAAATAAACCTTTGTAATAAATATTTAAAAAACTGTGTACCCATTTAATATCCATCTTATGTCTTCGGTAAAATAGTATTATACGTTAATACTTATGCAACTATGCATATGGAGTTTATTCATATATCATATATTACAGTGAGTGAGTGAGTTGGGTTTAACGTCATATCGCGGCGTGTCAGCTTAATGTGGGAGGAAAGCCCGAAGTGATGCAGTTCTTAGACGTTTACCACTTCGGTGAAACCCACGAGCACGGGTATGGTGCTGACAAACCTAGAAACATAATCGGGGTGAACGGGGATTCGAACCCAAGGTCATAGGTTTCTGACGTGCCCAAGGGACGCAACTCTGCACAGCAAATCTCGGCGCCTTAGACGACTGGGCCACCCGTGCCACCTTTATATATTACAGAAACATTTATGTCAGAAACACAAATGTTATTCATTCCAAGCAACGTAGACTCACTATGTACACTTATATACACTATTGCAGATTGCACCAGTCTCATTTACAAAAGATAACTGCACTGGTCATCATCTTCAGAGTACGAGGTGATAAACCAGGCATCACAGAATGAGTTCAGATGGCCAACGTTTCAGGTACATTGTAATACACTCTGTCTGACGCCGACTGGGAAATATCCAACGACTGATATTCATTTTCATCCGATGGTACTTGAAATGTTGAATAAACCTGTGACTGTTCTGTTTCTTGTTTGACGTTCTTTCTGCAAAGGGCATGTCTGAAAAAGATTGAATGTCTCACATGTCAATTTTAAACCATTGGGTTCTGTGAATAGGGTTTAACATTATTCCGGTTATATCAGGGCGTGTCAGCTTAATGTGTGAGGAAAGCCCGAAGTGATGAAGGTCTCCCACGTTTACCACTTTGGTGAACCCACGAGGACGGGTATGGTGCCAACAAAATCGGGGCGAACCGCTATTCGAACCAATAATTATAGATTTCTGGCGTGCCCAAGGGACGCAACTCTGCACAGCGAATCGCGGCGCCTCAGGCGACTGGGCCACCCGTGCTCCCTCAATATGAAACTTAAAGAGGTTACGTTAATTGTGTGTAATAGCGTTATATTTGCTAAGTTCTAATCGTTGTAATAACATTAACATACCATTTGTATGGGGCTTTTTCCATCCTGAATATTACACTATAATTGCATTATAACCCCGTCAATTAATCAGTGTGCACTCGAGTTTCATTCTCAACTTCCTGGGCAGGATACAACACACGCTGCCTTTGAGGAGGTTTAAGGTTAACATTGACATCTCATCCTAGAGGGTTTCCATTCACTGCTGGGTGAACACGCGTGTATTTTGAAGGCCCGTGCCCGAGGAGACATCACGTGTGTTACATGTGCTTCAGTGTGGGGCAGGAACGAAGACATAGAGCCAAGCTACCGAACAGGGTCACCCATACAAGGACGCTGCTTAGCTTCACCTGAGTTGAGACACGTGCGCTGTGCACAGGACCACGTGCCGCCAGACCTAGGTGTCTATGAAGCAACTGCATGCAATTGGAAAACGTAGGCAAGTACAGGAAATCATAATAAAAACAGTTAAGTACTCTATTTTTCATCAAGTCATTCAATATAATGACTAACCTTTTGAACCACATCACAATGGACAAGACGAGTACAATAATGAAGAGGCCAATGACTCCAATTACCCAGCCAACTGTCGTGAAAAAAAACACATTATCATGAAATTCGTGTACCAAACATTATGTTAAGAAAAAGTGAGAGTAATCAGACTTTTGTTTCTATGTGCTCCATTTATAGATGACCTGGAAGCTCTGGGACCGATGTGTCTGTCTGCGTGTGCGTGTGCGTGTGCGTGTGCGTGTGCGTGTACCTTCTTGTTTAACGTCGCTCTTAGTTACAATTAGCTGTATGGTCTCAAATTATCGGACTAGACAATCCAGCGACTGATGTTATGAGAAATGATCCAGGCAGACGAGGACACGCAAAGTCACCATGACTGTCCAACCGATTCATGTTTTCGCCTCTAATATACAGCATCTGGGTATGGTGTTGGGTGTGGGTGGAGAAGGGGTTTGGGGGGAGCCAATACTAGTCCAGAGTCACCGCAGGTGGCTGGTGAATTTATTTTTACTTTCATAGTTTACTGTATGGGAAACATGGAGGAAGCTACACAAATCCACCTACTGATATCTGTGGCCCGTGGGATACTGTTGATGATTGATCTGGTGTAAAGGATGCTGTTGTTTTTTGTCCCGCGTGGCTGGTCCTCTTGACGGTGTTGCTCCCCCCGTGATTGGCGCCTGTGCACTTTGTGCTTGGTACTGGTGACTCTGTTGGTGCGTGTTTAATTTGTGCTGGTATTATAGGTGTCTGTGTGGTTGGTCCGGGGGCCTGTGTGTTTGGTCCCTGTGTTTTCGGTACCTGAGTGATTTGTGCCTGTGTGGTTTGATCCCTGTGTTGTCGGTGCCTGTGTGGTTGGTGCCTGTGTGGTTTCGATCCCTGTGTTGTCGGTGCCTGTGTGGTTGGTTCCTGTGTTGTCGGTGCCTGAGTGGTTTGTGCCTGTGTGGTTTGATCCCTGTGCTGTCGGTGCCTGTGTGGTTGGTGCCTGTGTCGTTTGATCCCTGTGTTGTCGGGGCCTGTGTGGTTGGTGCCTGTGTGGTTGATTCCTGTGTTGTCGGTGCCTGTGTGGTTGGTGCCTTCGTGGTAGGTGCTGGTGTTGTGGAGGGGATTGAGTGTATTGTATGACTCAATAAATCTTTAATTTACAATGTTCTCATTCTCAATCATTTCTGGTCAAACTATATATTATGTACTTTAGGGACCATTTACCAACATTATCCCATTGGACAGACCTTGTTTAAAACAAAGTACACAAAAGCAAATAAAAGTGAGGAATCAAAGTTGCGGATATCGTACACCAAACATACTGGTATATGTCGTGCTTACTGACAAACATATATCACCAGAGACTGATACCTGGGAACTTGCCTTCTCGAGTAACATCATACCTTATATACCTGGACAATTGTCATCTTGAGTAGCAATATATCTAACGAGCCTGGGAACTTGTCTTGTCGAGTAACATCATACCTTATATACCCGGACAATTGTTATCTTGAGTAGCAATATATCTAACGAGCCTGGGAACTTGTCTTCTCGAGTAACATCATACCTTACGTACCCGGACAATTGTCATCTTGAGTAGCAATATAGCTAACGCACCTGGAAACTTGCCTTCTCGAGTAATATCATACCTAACATACCTGGACAACTGTCATCTTGAGTAGCAATAGATCTAACGTACCTGGGAACTCGTCATACGGTGATTGCGTTGATCCTACGACGGGGGTTGAGGATGTCGGTGTAGCTCTGGTCGCTGCATGTGATGTTGGCGCCTGTGTAGTAGGTGCCTGTGTGGTTGGTGATTGTTTTACAGGTGGTTGTGTAGTTGGTCGGGGTGACTGTGTTGGTCTTTGTGTGGTCGGTGCCTGTGTGGTTGGAGCTGGTGTTGTAGCGGCTTGAGTCGTAGGTGCAGGCGTAGTTGGTGGCGCAATGGTTGTGGCGACTTGGATCTTTGGTGAACACGTTATTGTTATCGTTGATCCTGGCGGGATTTTAAAACTGTTAAACAATATGTTAAATGAACATTGGAATATGACCCAGGCAGTAATATTATGTTTCCCTGACATTGAAGTTTGTATATGGTTTCATAAAAAAAATTGGTAACACTACGGCCGTGATACAGCCGTCACAATTATAATAGTGTTGTTGTCATAGTGCTGATTTATATTATTGCCCTACCTCCAAACATTTGATATAAGATTTGTTTTTAAGAAACAGGCTAGTTATGAATGCGTTACTAACATGTGCAGTGGAACTGTTATTACCTGTAGCAAAAGTGCGCATCATGACACAGGAGTCGATGGTTCCGGGACCAGTCAGGTTATACATGACTTCCGTGTTTGCTGCCATACTCCTGCTATACGATGCATCCTGCAGACAGTGTATGCTGTAGATGTTTGAATCCTGGCTTGACATGCGTTCATACACGTCCACTCGTACTGAACAGTCACTGAAGGTAGTGCCAACTACAGCAAATATCCCCACCTCTCCAGTCCTAGAGCTAGTGGCGGTACAGGAACACAGCTCATTGCCCTGGACGGTGGTGTTGGCCTCGATGTAGAGGGTGCTCCCCGTTATTGTTTTGCTCTCACACATGGGGATGACTAAAACATTATGTAACAAGATGTATTTTATGACTCATGGTCAGTGCTATTATCTAAATGGGGGCGGTCGGGTAGCCTAGCAGTTAAAGCGTTCGCTCGTTACGCCGAAGACCCGGGTTCGATTCCCGACATGGGTACAATGTGTGAAGCCCATTTCTGGTTTCCCCCTGCCGTGATATTGCTTGAATATTGCTAAAAGCGACGTAAAACCATAATCACTCACTCACTATTATCAAAAGTCTTTAGTTAATTGTCGATTTAAAGGAGCGGATTCAAAAGCACGAGCCAAAAGATTAATCCATCTGCTAGCTATTATCATCGTACATGTATATCATATTGTATAATAAATGTGTATCTCAAACATGCAAGCTTGCAATGTACAAATAACAACTATGTAGAACTATACATGGCGTGTACCTTTGTCCCGGTCTTGAAAGCAAGCGGCTGAAACAGAACATAAATACTTAAGAATTGAACGTCAGTTTGGATGGGTTCATTGAAGTGTGAACGATTTAAAGGCGCTGGTTAAACTGTGTGAACCTCCGAGCTTTGTAGTTTACTGGTCTCGCCGAATAATATCGTAACAATGTTTCCTTAAATTTGAAGTCCTCTGGTTTCGCCGAAGAACATTGCAACAATGTGATTTTGTCGGTATTTGCCGGCTCTCGGTCACATACGTTTCCCCACTCATACTCAGTTACGCAAAGAAACATAGTTCTTTGAATATATACAACATAATCTAGAAATATGTCAACATAATTTCATTCTCTGAACAAATTTACAAACAATATTTGGGATAAATCAAATCTTAAAAATAGGTTACAGGAAGGTGAACAAAAATATAAACATGACCTCGATGCACCGAGGCGAGGTCAACCTTCAAGCGCGGATTTATATATGACGTCACATAAGTTTTAAAGAGGTGCATTTCGAGTCGAACGGCAGCATGAGGATGAAATTTATAATTACTGCTGTTGAAAATGACGTTAATGGAGCAGTCATGGAAAACACCCCGACGCATGAACCCTGTCATGACACTAGCAAATTGGGAATATCACCGATTTATGATTGTGTTGCTTGTGTTTGGATAATCGCAAACCACTTCGGGCGATGCAGAATTGACTGGTGGGGATTGAACCGAGTGCTCTGAAACTTGTGTGTTTTGTGATAATTTTCAACGTCAGAGTGTGTTATATTTGGAGTTTGGGATTTGTCGCGTGTGATGTAATACTTTGCTTAGCTGGTGTTCCGTGTCACCTGAGATGGACCTACTGTGTGACCTGATGCCAGCTTCATTACTGTGCCCCGTCACTCCTCCTGTGACGCCGCTTCTCGGCCTAGAATGCACGGGGAAAGGTCGGCCAACTCAGAAACCGGAATAGTAGATTTCTAATTCCGCCTACGGATATTTTCTCGTCCCCGATGACCAATCAGTAAAACAGGTAGGCATGTTTTTTTTGTTTTTTTTACAAAATTTATGTTTATGTTTTATGGTTTCTCAAAATCGTAGATTTTTTCCCGATACGATAGTGAATCGAGTTTTAGTTTGGGATTGACCAGGAGCAGTCGCGTTTGCTCTGTGTCAGCGGCCACATCTGAGCAGGGTACTACATTGTTTTCATTATTGCTAGATTCCTGTCATTTCCGAAAACAAGGCATCAAAGTCAATATCGCATAATAAATCAATTTCGTTCACCTCAGTAATTTTACAGAATTAATTTTCTTTACTTGCGTTATTAGTATTGAAAGATAGCCATTCCACATCCAAATCACCGTAAGGACAATCCATTTTGTTTCATGTAGCAGCTAGAAATGTTACAAGACCAGGCAAAAATACTAAATTAATTATATTGCTGATAAATGCAGGGATTAAAAAGAAAATAGAAAAAAAACGAGTTGATCGTAAACACCGATCGAGAATTCGGGGAAACCCCGGAAAGTAGTTCCGGCAAAAGTTCACACGATCAATTTCACAAAAAATTGTTCACATCGTGTGAACTTTTTTTGTCCGTTCACAGTTGTGTGAACTCCAAATATAAGATCACGTGACTACCCCTTCAGCCAATCAGTATGAAAGAAACAGTGTAAACATCAAAGTATGAAATTATTTGCAAGTAAACACCAGTCAGACAGCATATAAGTTGCTCAATCACATGAAAACATCCCCCTAAAACATATTCGCAATATATCAACACCAGTGTTTATTACCACACTATATTAATTACCACGTATCAATAACACAAATAAAATATAATGCTTCTTAAAAAAGACATGTGGACAATTGTTCGTCATACAGACAAGTGTTGCGCCAGGCCCAAGCTTTCATAGACATTATTAGTGACAGTAGAACAGGCCAAAGCTTTCATAGACATTATTAGTGACAGTACAACAGGCCAAAGCTTTCATAGACATTATGAGTGACAGTAGAACAGGCCAAAGCTTTCATAGACATTATTAGTGACAGTACAACAGGCCAAAACTTTCATAGACATTATTAGTGACAGTAGAACAGGCCCAAGCTTTCATAGACATTATTAGTGACAGTAGAACAGGCCCATGCAGCCAGTTCTCCCACACAGGATGTCATTGTGGACTTTTAAGTGCTATGTACATGTAAATATGTTCATGGAATATTTGACAGAGAGTATACGTCTGATACCTAGAGCGTAAATACAGCGAGCATTATCTTTTGCACATACAAACGTATCAGTGTAACTGTTAAATCGAGGCAAGGTCTGTTTTGTGTGTGCTGTAGACAGCACGGGGTGGGCATTACATAAAGATGGATATTAGATAAAGTTAGGTAAATATGTAACGGTAGTTAGTTGGTTTGTTGTTTAACGCCCCACTCAGCAATACTCCAGCAACATGTAAATAATCGAGATTGTACCAGACAATCCAGTGATTGACATGAGCATCGATCCATGCAATTGGGATACGATGACATGCATCAGCCAAATCAGCGAGCTTGAACACCCGATCCCGTTAGTCGCCTAACAAGCACAGTCGCCTTTTACGTGTATGATTTGTCATGCTATCGCTGACTAATATGACCCATTTCATTATTTACAGGACGCCAAATGCAATATCCAATAACTCAGTCGCTCATATTTCCTGAGTGAGAGAATTTGGTTGTGTGCAAGATATAGAGTTGTCTTCGGTGTTAGATCTTCGTCTCATGATCTAATGTCGTATCAAGAATTATTAAGGAATAGCTACATATATATGAATTATTTCAAAGACATACCTTCAACGGACGAAAACCACAGGTAAACATACGTGCTGATTCCGATAAAAGCGCTATACTTTAGCTTCATATCCCACACATTACACATTTGGCAGCTGTGTGTGTCTCACGTCACTGGATGTCATCTATTTTTAAACTGGTTGAACGGGTTTGTCGCATATGTAACGAGCCCCTTCCAGTATTGTTCGGCAAACATATTGACACTCGAATCTTTCGCATGACTTTCCTGCTTGATACACACATTGCGTACTCTCCTGCGTGCATGTGCTTGGTACATACATTGTATACTCTCCTGCGTGCATGTGTTTGGTACATACATTGCGTACTCTCCTGCGTGCATGTGCTTGGTACATACATTGCGTACTCTCCTGCGTGCATGTGATTGGTACATACATTGCGTACTCTCATGCGTGCATGTGTTTAATACATACATTGCGTACTCTCCTGCGTGCATGTGCTTGGTACTTACAATGCATACTCTCCTGCGTGCATGTGCTTAATACATACATTGCGTCCTCTCCTGCGTGCACGCGCTTGGTACATACATTGTGTACTCTCCTGCGTGCATGTGCTTAGTACATACATTGGGTAGTGTTTATGCTCACAATGGAGTGTAAAAAAATGTCACATTTTGCAGCTGTAGCTTGAAGAAATATCCAGATTCAGAACAAAATCCAATAGGTAATGGCATTATGTATGTGGAAGAATATTCATTTATTGTATTTCAAATAAACGTAAATATGAGAGCATACATCATCCGCGAAATGGTGAATTATCTAGTAGTAGAACTACCAACACGTACATATGTATCCCATATCTTACTTGTTAGGAGAATGCTCATGTTCTCACCTAAAATATAGAAGCAGTATCAATTTGCATTATGAACATTTATTAAGTGATCAGTCATTCAAAACCATAGATGAGTACTTTGATTGTACACTGTAACTAATACTGGAATTGATGAATGTGTTTTAAGTATGGATCTCGAACAACCAACATTCAAGTTCTGGTTTACACTTTCATGGCACTTTCATGTTTTTCATCACCTCTGTTTTGTTTTGTTGAATGGTTAGTAGTCATGATTACTATTATAACTGAAATAAGGAAACCCACTACCAACATGTACCTGTCTCACACGAATTATATAAATGTATATGTAAACAGGATTCACAAGTTTCCTAACAAACAGAATGTGTATGCAAAACTTGTCTAGATTGTGTTTGTGTTCTCAGTAGCTTCTATAGCGATCGGTGTTTCAGGAAAGTGTACAATGACCACACAACAATGCCTTTACTGATTGCAGGCATTCTCTCCTCTTGACATCCTCAGGAAATTATATGTTATGACCTGAGAATGCAAAATATTTCCTCATGTTAAAAAATCTGTTTCTTTGGTGGTGTGAGATACAGTAGGACCCCTATCTGAGTGTTAATCCGAAATTGTGCAACAATTAAAAGTAATAATTTTCACATAGTTTCCAAGGAAGGTCTCACAGCACTGGTTGAGACATTTACCCCTCCAAGTCCCTCTGAAGAGATCAGTTTCATCACAAAACATTCACAATCGGTAAAGCCCGTGTGTAGAACCTTCAGTCTTCGTTCTTCCAGGTGGCTCCGTACAGTTAGAATGACCACGGTTAGGTTTAATGACTAGAGCATAGGTCAGTTCCACCTGTCCCGCGTTCACTTCAGTAACTGTCCGACCGGCAGATGGGCTGGGCGGACTTTCTGAAGAAGAGGAGGATACGTCTGAGCCATGTTCTTCAGGGCGTTGACGAGCTTGTTGAGAACACTCTGGTTCAGCCTCTTCGCTATACAGAGGGTTCAGCACTGAGACATTTGCAGATGAATATTCCGAGTCAGCGTAGCCAGCTATTGGTTGCTTCCGTTCGTCTTCCTCATCACCACGATGTTTGTCTTGAAATCTGCAAAGGCAAATATGTGATGAAACACTGACGGTGAACATGGAGTATGTTTAACAAAAATCGTGTTGTTTGCCATTCCCCCCGTTTGTAGCTGTAATTTTGAAATACATCATTCCACTGATTTGTCACATATAGTGAGAAGCTTTGAGCATGTCTCATTTTGAAATCCGTGACTGAGTTAACTGTTTACACCACATCTGCATTAGTGCAACCGCATAGCACATTTTGAATTGAAGTAGTCTAACCTTTCTGTCACATGACATGCATGGGGTTGGTAAAACGCCGATTCTAACGGCATTTCATATTTGAATCACGCCGTGTCAGCTTCTTTAGGGTGGAAAGCTCGACGTGATGCAAATGACACTTTGGTGACACCCATGAGGGCGAGTAACAAACCTATAAATAAAATCAGGGCGACAATAGCGATCTACAGAAGTAATAATCGTTAACTGGACATGCTATATTGTCGTAAACAATATTGGTTCAAAACAAATTATTAGCAATCTTCTTTCAGAGCAGAAACACATGGTTTGACATTTCTGACTAAAAACACTATTCTGTCATGAAAGAAACTCCAAGGATCCCAAGGAATATAATACAGTCGGTCCTTTAAAAGTTGATGTGCTACATTTGTTACTTCAGGAATAATTACTTCCACCGGTCACTAACCTGTTGCAGAGCAAGATGACCATGATGCCCAGCAGCACCATGATTCCTGCTGACACACCAGCCGTAACTTCAACCACTGGAAAGATGCATCCAAACATTAAAGCATCGATTATCAGCGCCATTGACACAATGTATGCTTACGGTGTAAAATTAGATTTCCAAGTTCTATTTTGTACATTAGGAAATAAATTCCAGGAATTCTTTTTGATCACCCCGCCCCAAAATTGCATGTTTAGCAAAAACAAACCAAGAAGTGGGGCTTGGTTTACACACTAATCCTCAAGATCACGAGTGACTTTACTTTCAGTGCTCATCGATAAATCATGAAGTGTCTTTCTTTATTTTATAATTGGCATATGACAGGTTTTCATCTCCACTATCAAGTTTTCCTTTTGCCATTTTCGAATATGTGGGATAAGTATGGGAGCAATAATATGTGTTCGGTTTAGAGGTTAAGATGTGTAACCCATAATGAGTTGTGACTGATTTTTACATGTATCCAAATATCCGATCGAAACCTTTGAATTAAAAACAGACCATTTGGCTTATCTTCTGGTTAACCTTTAAAGGTTAAAACATAAAGTCAGTGTTCTGATATTATCTTGCAACTTTAAAAACTACATGTGTAATACCTTGTTTTGCACCTTGAACGGGAAATGTATGACTGTATGAAATCCTTGCGATAACAAAACTAATATGAATACATGTAGTTGTAGTTTAGCTGATATGAAGTATCAATTTGTAAAATACATACCGGGAAAACTGTACCGTGTTGCTTGCGTGTCATCAAGAACAGTTTTGTTATCTAAACCAGTACTTTCGGAAACCGTCGTGGTCGTCGTAGTCTGAGATGGTACTGTCACTGGTACGGGAGTGATTTCTGTTGGAGATGTTGGTAGAACTTCCGTAGTTATTGTCGAGGTTGATGGTGCGGATGACGTTACGGTAGTCGTCTTGTGTGTCTTTTCTGTTGTTGGTTGGACTGTTGTTGTCGGTGCCTCAGTTATCGAGACAGGTGTAGTTGCAGATGTTGTTGTGGATGGTGTAGGCGTTGAGGTTGATGTGACCATAGCTTCCGTTGTTACAAACGGTGTTTCTGGAGTATATGTAGTCGTGGATGTGGTCGTGTTGACTGAGTCAGCAAACCTTCCAGAATAACACTGAAGTTGCAGCCTCACCTCTGGAATATAAGTTTCACAAGACACTCGACTAAGATGTATTCTGGATACTCTAACGAGATTACCCTGCTGTTATGACTTTGTGTGCTTATGATTGTCAATTTGCTTTTGAAAGGAAGAGATTGTTTGTTGATTAGATATCTTAGAGAAAGGTTGCATGGTGGTGGATTATGGAAAACATGTAATCATTATGATAAAGTGACTGGGTGATTTGGGTTTGATCCCGATCTGAACTAAAGTTTGGTTTGTTTGTTGTTTAACGCCGCACTCAGCAATATTCCAGCTATATGACGGTGGTCTGTTCGTAATCCAGTCTGGTCCAGACAATCCAGTGATTGACATCATACAAATCGATCTACGCAATTAGGATACTCCCGTTAACCAAGAAACAACATATATGTACGAAGTCCCATGTTTTCAATTAATAATGGTATAATGAACAGATATAGTTTCACACATATAACACGTATTCAAAGGCAAAAGTTATTGTGACATACAAAAAACACAAAGTGAATCGGTCAAAATTATTTGCCGTGAGTGCGATTTTATCTTGGAAAGTATGTCTAAAGGTCCAATAGCCTGCAACTGTCTAGGCAAATGAGTCATGACACCTAAGAGGGTTCGGGGCGATCGGGTAGCCTAGTTGTTAAAGTCTACGCTCGTCACGCCGAAGACCCGGTTCGATTTCCGACATGGTGTATAATGTGTGAATCCCATTTCTGGTGAAGCCCATATTGCTGGAATATTGCCAAAAGTGGCGTAAAACCATGCTCAACCAACAACCTAAGGGTTCCATACAGTCAGAAGCTAGTGTGTGCACCTTGGGCAGTGATACAGGCCTGAAACCTCTGCCTCATTGCGGACACTACACTTTGACGAAAGGATTGGGGAAAGATAATCGGTAGGTGGAGGAGTTGAAATATATCGTAACGATGTTCCGTTTCATCCCAGACATGATCACCTCGACGCCAGTAGACACGCATCCTCCCATCGGATCGGTGAAGGAGGAAACGTTACTCATTAGTAAGAGGACCCCTCTGCACTGACGTGCTGTCCACAATAAGTGAGTTAGTGAGTGTGTTGGGTTAACGCTTTGAACAGTATTTCCATTATATCATTGAGTGCCAGCTTGATGTGGGAGTAAAGCCCGAAGTCTCACACCGCAAGCGTTGTCTTCACCACTCGATACATTGACGTTGATGCTCTGCCGTCAAGGTTTGGCCATTTGGCTGAGCGACATGCTCGGATGCTAGCAGATACGTCTCTGTTGTCATGGATGGCACGGACTTGTTCTATGGAACCTGGATGCGTGTTTCGAAACCATATGTCTTGGTGAGGTGTTTGCATGGGTAGTCGGCCACTACTGGCACCCTCGCGGTCGTGATCGTTCTGTTGATGACGTTGCCATAAGTGCTTCATGTTGAATTGACGTGCGACGGCACGTTGCGAGGTCCAGGATTCAAGCCTTCCTACAGCTTGTCATCTGTCATTTTCACTTTGATTTAGAATGGTGATATCTCATTAAAGCGATCAAAAGTGTTGGTTTCTGAAGCAATTTCTCCTTAATATTGGTTATTTCTTGCAACGAACATGCAATACCAGCGATATTTCTTTTGTTGGCATTCTTCGAGCTTTTTCATAAATAGTTTTCCTGCATCAAGTCAGTGATATCAAGTTTTTAAGTGAAGAAAATCGAAGTCACAATAACTGTTGCATTTGAATATACAGTATTTAAGACAGAAATCTTTCAGCAAACGTGATCTCTATTTCACACGTTGGGCTTTCGTTTAAATGAATACTAAAGCAAAATTATGATGCATGAATTACGGCAATATAATCTTTCGAAAATATACTTGTTCATCAAATATATTCTTTTACGCACCTGTAGCTTTCGTTTGAATCAATAAGCAATATCTTCCAGCACCTTGGCCTCGAATATCCAAATCCAAACTGTCTAAACTATGAAGAAACGATTGTGCGTGATCGTTGCTTTTGTGGCAATCCAGGCTGTATTTGAGGACGTTAATGTTGAAGCTGACTTTGCAGTTCTTACGGTCTATCGTTGATGGGTAGATGTCCACTGATCCACCAGCAGCGCTGACAACCCGCAGACTACACGAACACCTGGAGAACTCGCCCGAGAACAGTGTGGAGTCCAGGTATATCCTCGTGCCTTGCTGAATCCCTGCACGACACATCCCAACAACTACAACATATTTGAAAGACATTTTATACAAACGCTAACTTGGTACTTTCATTGAGCAAAATAAATCCTGTGAAGTTTAAAGCTTAAATAATTACAAGGGACAGTTATTACAATAACAAAATAATCTTACAATACATTCTGACAAGTTGTAGAATAGAATAGCTTACAACACACCTGGTATGGCAGCTTGGGGACAAACGGCCACTGAAAACATACAAGTTGAAAATGAGAGTTTTCATTAAGTGCGGTAAGATTTATTATTGACCATGGTTACTTCGGTTAATACATAAACTGGTATATGTATACACATGGGTATAATCTAACATAAATGTAATGAAACATGAAAGAGGGTCTATGTTCCACAATCTTTTCTTTTTTTCAAATGTATATCAAGACGTTGTAATTAGTGCGAAGTTGAAAACTATGACACTGTGTCCTCGCATGCGTAATTAGGCAATCATGTACTTGTAGCTTGTTTATGACAGCAGTTGTGATCCAATATCCTGACCAACCGAAGTGAGAATGTTTAACTCAGACTGGCATTTGAGGTCTGCATGACAAGGGTCGTCATTCGAGGAGAGCATGTATACGACTCCCACTGACACTGCAGCATTGACATGCATGCCAGTTCATATATCTTCATTAGAGTTTAGATTTTATCGACCGTGTAGACGATGTGATAAAGGTGCAAAAAGGGGTAAGCATGACAGATATGGCGGCGGTTCACTTATTGTTTTTGGCACAATCAACTGATCTGAAAGTTCCTTAAAACAGGTGTTCTTTATCGTGATAAAATTCTTTATTTCTACGTGAGACCTTGTGCCAGTGCCATAGGACATTCATCCCGACGGACGACATGGATCGTGCAAGAGTGGTGTAGGATTACCTCTAGCAAGAGACAATCATTCGAATGCACTGGCACGTTCCCGAAAGCTAAATCTCAGGAGTTGCTGCTGAAGTTGTTTGTCGCTGAAGCGACCGGTTCCAAATTACATCAAATTAATCGGAAGAAGTTTTGGTCGTTAGCAAATGTTGACTTGTGTGCGCATTTCATAACAATTTAAGTAAACTTTACGTTAAAAGATTATCAGTGATTTAAGGAACCCATCATTCTTGGCTTGCCAATTGCCCGGACATACCACTTTCACAAATACATTTCTGGTTTGTCCAAGTCTATTTAGCACAATGGCCGTTTGTTTCCATTCGTCGTCATGAGATGTGGATCTTACAAGAAATATGTGAATTATGAAACTGTTCCTCACAATCATTCCCTTCTGTTACTGATGGGGGAGTGGTTATCGACTCTGTGGAGGTAACCTGGGAGGTGGTTGACGATACCGACTCTTTTGAGGTGGGCGTTGATGATAGGGATGATGTCACATGCGGTGTTGTTTTGGACGTAGATAATGTGCTCGTGTCTTGTACCTCGGCAGAAATCCCAAACGAACATTCGACTTGCAGTTTCACCGCTGCAATAAATAATCAGAATACAAACATGTCTAAAATGTATCCTTGATAACCTTATAGTATACTTCCTTCCTCAACATTTATAGATGATGTATATATTGTGTTACGTTTATATAATTTCTGTACAAATATATTTTCGTTGGTCCATCCATCCATCCACCCATTCATGAATTTACCTACTTACTCTCTTGTAACCTATTTGCATCACTTTTATCTTTTGAAAATACATCAGTTTATCGAATATTTTCTGGTACGCACCTGTAGCTTTCGTCTGAATCAATAAGCAATATCTTCCAGCACCTTGGCCGGAAATACTTAAATCCAAACTGTTTAAACTGTAAAGAAATCGTTGTACGTGACCATTGCTGGTTTTACAATCCAGGCTGTATTTCATGGCATCAATACTGATTCTTGATTCGCAGTTCTTGCGGTCTATTATTGTTGGGTAGATATCTACTGATCCACCGGCCTCGCTGACAACCCGTAGACTACAGGAACACCTGGAGAATTCGCCCGAGAACAGTGTGGAGTCCAGGTATATCCTCGTGCCTTGCTGAATCCCTGCACGACACATTCCAACAACTACAACATATCGGAAAGACTTTTGAAATCAGAAGTTCGACTGCAAATGTTATAAAACTTATTGACAACTTCACTTACAGCGGTGAAAGTAAATTCAATATAATTAAACAACTACAACATTTAAAAGTCATGTGACGTTAGAAGTTTGACACTGACGTAATGAACATTAATTGTACCTTTGGGACAAGTTTGTTGTTTTTGCGGCAACAATATATTGTCACTAAAAGTTATGTTTATGAATAACGAACAACAAGTCAAATTAGATATACCTGTTGCATGCCAGTTGATAGACATCTGATCATGATATTAAATATAATACATATCTTACACACCTGGTATATCAGATTGGGGACAAACGGCCACTGAAACATACGAGATTGACTGAAATTATGACAGCTTTATCATTAAGAGTAACTGAATAATATGATGTCGTGTTGATGGCCATCTTACTGAGAGAAAATGTCTTTAAGCTGGAGCACTTACACGCAGTGACATGATTCGTTAATACGGCAATCCTTACAATTTCAGTGGGAACGCTTCCACCTTGCTTCATACATATGTAATTCATAAATAATCCAGCATTTCCGCTTCTTATAGTTCAACATTTCAAACGAACTTTATTCGATTCCTGTGTGTCCAAACTTAATATTTTAACAATCAATACATAATTCAGTTCGAATCGAACTTCTCAAGCAATCGGAATTACACTCACACTGATTCTCTTCTGTTACTGGCAAAAGTGGTTCAGTGGGGAAGACCGAGGATGTTGGCGACGACACCTCCTCTGTGGTACTGATCTGGGACGTTGGGGACGACACCGGTACGGCCGATGTGCCCTGCGTGGTAGAAGCAAACGTCGTCGGCGGTATGACTGAAACATAAAGGCAGATGAAGTACGGCTGACACGACATGTAACCAAAACCCATTGTGGTTGAAACAGTGAGTACAAAGTAATTACCTTCTAGCGTAGTCGTTATCTGCTCTGTTGTCATAGGGGTTGCTACGGTAGTTGCTGCATAACAGGAAACAGCCAGCATCATCTCTGTAAAATATGAACACGTTTTGTTATCTTACAACTTTAAACACCCGGTCCCGAATTACAATGGTGTCGATGACAAGTCTATCAGTGATACGTAAAATGTAAAATGCCCATGAAGTAGGGGCGGTGGGGTAGCCTAGTGGTTAAAGCGTTCACTCGTCACGCCGAAGGCCTAGGTTTGATTCCCCACATGGGTAAAACGTTTCTTATATTTCCGGTGTCCCCGGCATGATATTGCTGGAATATTGCTAAAAGCGGCGTGAAACTATTCTCACTCACTCCCATAAATCAACTTCAGAAAAAAAGCCAATGTTTTGTGTTATGCAATGATTTAGGGCGCTTCACTTGGTACATCATATAAAGTGACTTGTTGTCAGGCACTCACATACATATGTACGCAGTGTCTCTCTTAGCTATTTCGTATAAGAACAGGCACAAAAATTCAGATACCTTCATTTAGAAACATACGCACTAATTTCTTGTCCGATGGAATATTATGCACATATTACACCCTTGTATATGAAGACAGCACATCTGTTGTGTATTTCTTGTTGACGAAATAGTGTTGGAATGAAATGGGTTAGACACAGCTTTGAAAGTATTAATTTTAATATCACGGTATGTAGGCTTCATTTCGAAGATAATCACACTTGACACATGTATTTGAAGTCTAGTTCTTTGGATGAGACATAACAGCATGGATAACGTGCCGACATATTAAGGTTCATGATGGTTAAATAGTTCGTTATTACTGATTATAAATACCTGCAGCCTCAGTATAGACCAGCATACAGTGGGAAACAGGACCTGACCCTTCCAGCTTGAGATCAACAGTAGCGTTGAAATCCAGAAATCCGCTGTAAGATCCACCAGATGAACAATTCCTTATGAAGTTGAAGGAAGAAACAACTATTGTTGCGTCACAGTTGACACTGTCTACAACGGGGAAACTGAAAGTGACGGATCCCCCTGATCCAGTGGCTGTAATGGAACATGTGCATGTGTCCATGTTGCTGGAGAAGTAGGACGTGTCAAGGTACACCCTCTTCCCGGAGATCTGACCACTGAGGCACATCGACCTCACTATGTTCTCTACAATCAAAGTAATGGATTATGGGTGGCATTTATTAATAAAGTGCATCTGCCTTTGATGTACGTTTTGCTTAAGTTTATAAGATATGCAGTGAATTAATCATTGCGAAGTAGAGCCGCCGTACCACCTAGAAATGAAATCCCTTTTCTTTGGGTCTTCCAGAGATATTTCGTAGCGTGATATCGACCCCATACATTGACGTGGAGGGACGCCATAATGGGCCTCTGGGTAGCTGTCGCGTACATGTAGCTTGTGTCATATTCAATATTAAATTATAAGGATTATGAGTATATTGAGATAAACATGTCGGGTTAGTTTAATTCATACACACACAATTAATGTCATATAAGTTCAGATAAGATATATGGATGAACTTACTTAGTACTCCAACTTCTAAATGCATCTCAAAGAAGTAATGTCAAAATTTGAATTCTCAATTCAATTTGTGACTACTGGTATTAGTGTGAAATTTAAAACTGTGAACCCTTCGGTGTCAAATCAAAGATTTCACACACAAGTAGAATCGCAGTGCGATTACATTGGCATGACAAAAGTGAAAACTGACTTTGTATAGGTGGATGGTCTGCTAACACACATAGACTGAATTACGCAATAATTATATATAAAAGCTACCTTGTGAACATTCCGAGAGATAAGATTTTGTCTGAACATGAATCGAGGTATTCATATTATAGTGCACAAGAAACATGATGCCAGGTGATAGGGAAGCGTCATGCAGTCCCCATGCACTGGCCGTGCCTGAAATGTATATTGCACTCCCCTCTCGTTTTTTAACGGGTTGTTGTTCAAATTGTCCACCCATATATTATTCAATATTAATTATAGTCACCAGAACGCTACATACTGCAATCTACATGTGATGATACTATCCGTGTGAACTGGCGACACGGGTGGCCCAGCCGTCTAAAGCGCCGCAATTCGCTGTGTAGAGTTGCGTCCCTTAGGCACTCCAGAAACCTATAATTTCGGGCTCGAATCCCGATTCTTTTCGATTCGCCTCGATTCTAGGTTTGTCAGCACCATACACGTGCTTGTGGGTTCCACGGAAGTGGTCAATGTGTAAGACCTGAATCACTTCGGGCTTTCCTCTCTCATCAATGTAACGTTCTTCAATGGCCCAACCACCAGGCCCGACCGCACACGTACGCGTCATGCACTTATCCAGCAACGTTACGTCATTCATTATAAGTATCAAGGTAATATTTTCAACATGAGATGAATTACCTCCCTTCTACAAACACATAACCTGGCTGGAGGAAACAGGTACAAGCGTGAAGCTGACGTATGTGTTTCCGTCAGGGTTGAATTGAAGCATTGATGGCTAAAACTGCAGTTGTAGAGTATTTGAAAAGAGACCTTGAATCATGTTTACATTTAATTAGCAACAGTGTCCGTATTGAATGCCAGTCATCTTGACGAGGAAGTGTACAGTCAGTAGTTTTTGTGTAAAAATGTTTTATACCTAGCAGGGAATCTGATCATTGTAAACATGTTCCTTCAACAAATTGTTGACACAAAGTTCCATTCGCCATGCATTGTTCAAGTATACAAGTATTAATGATAACTTGGATTCCAGTGAGTGAGTGAGTGAGTGAGTGAGTGAGTATGGTTTTACGCCGATTTTAGCAATATTCCAGCAATATCACGGCGGGGACACCAGAAATGGGCTTCACACATTGTACCCATGTCGGGAATCGAACCCGGGTCTTCGGTGTGACGAGCGAACACTTTAACCACTAGGCTACCCGACCGCCCCTTGGATTCCAGATTCCGTCGGGTGGGCAGGCTTGGTTGGTCGTTGCTCGAAATGTCAAGAACTGGGTTGTCTGGTTAATATTAAATTAGTTACAGGCGGGGTCACTTAGTCGCAATGTGCCATGAGTGCGGCGTTAAACAACAAGCATTAAAATGTATCAGGTACGAGGAAATCATTGCCCGTCGGTAAACAAGAACACATGATTCACATTCCGTGTTCAGCAACTTACAGCATGAATTGTTGTTGGTTTTGATAAATACAATGTATTCATTTTAAAACCATGGGTCGTATAGATAAAGCAAATCTATCCTGAAAAGCCTTTTTTCAAATAAATTTCAATTTTAATATGTGTGTAAAAATCACAATGCGCCTATTGGTATGAACTATTTACGGCGGGCCCTGAACACACGCACATACTAGCCATGACTCACAAAGACACAGATATCGCATGTCAGGCTTGTCCGTTGCTATTATGTACTCGAAAGCACACATAATGAGCAATGCTGTATCCATGTCAGTATAACATGCAGGGCGGTGGGAACAGTTCAACAGCTATTGTTTTCAACAAGACGCATTCCTTTAAATGCTTAATTATAGGCAATCACTCACCGAATATTGACATAGCATTACACTAATTATATTGCAAATGCAGAGCATTACCTGATATGTATGATGATGTGTTATGACATACGTGCCTATGTGCACTGTTTTACTGAAGAGACTGAGAGATCCTATCAGTATATCTTATTATTCGGGATCTGTTACGGTTTGAGTGGCGGTCGGGTAGTCTAGTCGGGTAGCCTAGCGGCTGCAGACCCGGTTCCTGACACTGGTACAATGTGTGAAGCCCAATTCCGGTGTCCCCCGCCTTGATATTGCTGGACCATTGCTAAAGGCGGCGTAAAACCATACTCACTCACTCTGTTACGGTGTATTACCAACGGCTAGTGGTTGGCACATAAACAAAATCATATGTGCCACACATTTGGTAATAAGGCCATTTTCAATTGTGTTAACTACTTAAGGTGTTAGGAATGCCAATTTTAGACTGATAAAGACCTTATTTTTCATTTTGGAACATTACACCGCAATATGATAGTTAGAAAACTTAAATTAAAATAGCTTTTCAATCTTGATTACTTAACACAATCATGCTATTTTAAATATAATATAACTGTGTTAAGGTGCAATACAAAATGCTTTAGAACTATGAATGAGTAAAGAAAATGCATTACATTTATTGATAAAGTGACACAGTGTATGGACAACAACTTTTTTATGTTAATGCAGCGGCGGCGTTTCGGTAAAGATCCTTATACCGTTGTCACGCAAGACTGACAACGGTATAAGTATCTATACCCAAACGTCACTATTACTGTATGATAAAAACTTTATCTATAAACTGTTTCGTCTTTGTCATCCGTCAACTGCTAAGAAGGCTTGTGAAACAATTACCTTCATTATCGGGTGTCGGGCACACTGCACCTGCAGTGAAAAGATGAAGTTAAAAGGCAGGTAATCCTAGGGAGACAAAGACATTCTTTATCCAACAAAGTCACTCTGACACCCCTGCTAGAACTCAGAGAATGCATCACTTACATGTCCACTCACTTGCCCAAAGCATAGGAGACGTAAAATATTATCAGATTTCAGAAAAATGGTAAATCCAAGTGCAAATTATGGGCCACAATCTCAAGCCACACATGAACGTAGATACTATACACATTAAGAGGTAGGTATAATTTCACAACCATTTTGATTTATTTATAAATCATTTCATCCGCTAATCCAATATGTTAACCCAGTCATTATTGGTTAACATGTATGCATATGCTTTATTTAATTACAGGGACAGGTTAAACATTGTAACAATTACATGTATCCCTCCTACGTAGACTAAAGGTATACAAATGGAAAGTTCAAATATAATTTCCCTTACCTTTACTGCTATTGATGATCAGGAGAAACATGTATATAACTATGTTTAATCTAACGGTGTAATTCCTCTCGATCTCCATAATTAATGAATGTATGTGCAGCTCTTACTCCTCGGACCGTGAGATCAACGTGTTTCCCATGTCAGTCACATTCTCTGTACTGTGGAACATACATACAATGGTGCGTTTGATGGTATCGTATTTCCACCCTAGATCGCGTGCAAGCTCACAGACGTGGAGGCCAAAGGTAGATATCGCAGTCTGATTTGAGAACACACCTACTGTGTACTTCTAACTGATGACGAAATGTGCTTGAAATGTGTGAGTGAGCTTGTTAACGCCTATCTGGACAGTTAATATTAACATATAAATAAGTAGTTCGAATGTTCGAGGAAAATTAAAAGAAATACCTTTACTACTGCTGACACAGGTAACACGATGTAAAATTAGATCTGACCAAGGATCATAATCGGACTGAGATTAGGATTCGAACTTACGTCGAGCGGCTGAAGTACGAATCTAAGTACAGCAAAGTATGGCGCATTAGATCACTAGACCGCCAGCGTTCGCCTTGTATGTTCAAAACATGTGAAGATTTCGACTGAAAGACACCTCATAAACGAGTACGTGTTGTGTAACTTCTTCTTTTGCAGTGATATCCCAAGCCCTCACACAATGAACGAGACATACAGGGATTTTGGCCACAAACACCGTTTGGTAAAAGTCAAACATATTTTTCAAAGTGCAACAAATGGTTGAAATGTCGAAATGGCGCTCATTGTCGCATTGTTTCTCTTTGGTAAATTTTGACACTGTTTGCTTGTGCCCTTAAGGGCGACAACGCGACCATGTCTCTTCCAGGGATCCGCACCATACTCGTATGCCATTACATTTAGAACGCTATTGTCCGGTGACTTTAGTTCATTGCTAGAGCAACACTCACCAGGTTCGGTAAAGGCATGAAGTAGGATAGACCGACTGTTGTGTGGCATTTAGACTGCAGACCACGGGGTATGTTTTCTGGTGGAGTGTGAACACATGTACAAATAAGGAAGTAATGAAAAAACTATATATAAATTGGCATTGTAAGAGAATTACCGCCCAGATCATCTGCCAAAAGAGATTCCACTTGGTGCAAAGGGCAAATGGTGTGGAAGTTATATGAATAGACCACTGAAAATCAGTGACGACACCAGGTGTTCGCGAAGGGTAAGCATGTCCTGCCCTACCGGTGGCACCCGCCATTCATACAATTTGCGTATTGCCTGACGCAGCACAGCAGTACTCCTGCCATGCGATGTCAGTTTGTAAATAAACAAAAGCTATAGGTAACAAAAGCTATGGGTAACAAAAGCCATGGGTAACAAAAGCCATGGGTAACTTCTGAACAAAGAGGGAGAGCATTTTGTGTCATGATCAGATTGTATAGGATACATTGGCCGTAAGTAAATAGTGCACTATTTGCTTCCGGGCACTCTGTGTTTGTTTCAAATTATGACGGTATTGCTCTGTGAATATCAGATCCCTGTGAACATACTACATGGATTCGACTACTGATCTCATTGTGAGATCCTTATACGCCTACCATACACGCCTGCCATACTCGCCCATCATACCTGACCACATCGACGCCCATCACGCAGGCCTACCATACACGCCTACCATACAGGTCCACCATATACGCCAACTGTACACGCCTACCATACACGCCCACTATACCCGCCCACCATACCTGACCACACCCACGCCCATCATGCAGGCCTACCATACACGCCTACCATACAGGCCAACCATATACGCCTACCATACACGCCCACCATACCCGCCCACCATAACTAACCACATCCACGCCCATCATGCAGGCCTACAATACACGCCTATCATACAGGCCCACCATATACGCCAACTATACACGCCTACCATACACACCCACTATACCCGCCCACCATGCCCGACCACATCCACGCCTACCATGCAGGCCTACCATACACGCCTACCATACAGGCCAACCATATACGCCAACCATACACGCCTACCATACACGCCCACCATACCCGCCCACCATACCTAACCACATCCACGCCCATCATGCAGGCCTACCATACACGCCTACCATACAGGCCCACCATATACGCCAACTATACACGCCTACCATACACGCCCGCCATACACGCCCGCCATACCCGCCCACCATACCCGTCCGCCATACCCACCAACAGACACGATCGCCATACACGCGAAACATTCACGCCCTTAATACACGCCAAGATACCCGCCCACCAAACACGCCAACATACCAACACGTGTTACAGCACAGTTTGTCAGATACCTTTGTCCCAGTGTAAAGTTGAAGGTGGCGTTCTGGGGCGCTATTGTGTGAAATCATAGAGCTGAAAATCTAAATTATCCTGTCCAATATATCAAACAATTTCAATTATAACTAACTGATTCACATTTTGATGCGTATGTCGCAGCTACTGTGAAGTAGTGTGATACTCCATGTGGCCCAGGATAACCAAATATGGAATAGTGACGACGATATGATACTGTGTATCGGCGAGAATATGGCAGAAAAGGTTTCATAAGCATATGAATAAGGTATCTAACACTTTTCATTCGAATCATCAGGGAGAATGAAGTTGCACTTTGATATCGCATTATCTTAGAAACAAATAATATTCCACAGACTTGAAAGAACAAGAGTTTACGAATTACGTGTAACAGCTAAGAGCTACTAGAATTTAGTCTTTGGAGTTTTAAATGTTATTTAACTTGAATCATGTATGAAGACATAGATATATGCTAGTATAGTTGGAAACAACATTTTGAAATCGCGATCTAATATGAGAGCCGCCGTGATATTGCTGGAATATTGCTAAAAGCAGCGTAAAACCATACTCACTCACTCTAATATGAGAGTATTTAGGTGTCAGCACACCGCATAGAGTTTTAATAATGACATTATACACTGTCAAAAGTAATCATCTCTTAAACTGATAAAATGCGTTATCTATTATTTTGATTGGGTTTCCTAAGTGTTGACCAATGTTGTAGAATCCTAAATTATTATGTTTTATTTACCGTAACTCAATTACACAGGTAAATAAATGTTCATGATATTGTTTGCAGATAAAAAGTTAAGATTTCGGTATTTTTCCCTAGGAATGCTTGGCAAACTTAAGATGGTACCTTGATATAAGCACACTTTTAACAATTCATCTCAAAACCAAACGGTATACTTCATACATTGTACTGTACAGAATGTGTACACATTCATAACAATAACATGACGATATCAAGTATGTCAATAATCAGTATGTACATAAGAAAACGTCACGGAGTCTACACCTGTGTTCTAGAGTATCACGGTTGGGCACTTTATCTCGAATAATGCTACATTTTAATGTGTTTACCCTAGTTCTTCAATCAAATACGTCTTTCGCTATATAAGGATTTACATGAACATGTGTATATCATATTTGCTTGAGTAGCAATACAAATTGATATGCAATTAGTGACACTATGATATTGCTGACCAACTTAATTTCGATTGCTTGCATCCTTTTCTACATCTTTACGTTATTTCTAAAGGAATCACATACCGTGTAGGACTATGAATACGTCATGCATTTGAATCCCAAACGTGCATGTCGTTTCCGCACATACGTTTCAGTTATGAAATGGCAGTTGATGTTCGAAATGCGATGTTCCCCGGTATGTGAAACACTCAAGTGGAGTTGTTGGATCCTGTACATGGTCTGAATGATTACAACGAATGTCGACACCGTAAACTACTAATCAGTCTCCTATAGAAGTACCATTACAAAATAAATTCATGCTGTTTGAGATAACGAAAACCGGTCGAAATATCTTTGCAACTGGTTGGATCGCATATCGATCAACAGGGCTTCAAACAACGTTAACCCATCCGTTTGAAATGTGCGGTAGCCTCTTTGTAGCCATTCGCAACAACCCTGGTTTCTCACTAAAATAATTATTTTGTGAAACTCTCCACGCCTATTTGTTACAACATTGTCTGTGGCAAGGAAATTCCATAGTCCAATATGGCATAACGCAATTGTGGGGTTTGCGTCATTTCGTGTTTCATGGAGTTTCGCTCCACGTATGATCCTTAGTTACATGCACTGATGATAAGCTGAAACGTCCCGGGGTGGTAACACCAGCTCTTACTCACTTACTCTAAAAGCGTTGGATAGCACACCCTCTGTGTACTCGAGACAGATATCCAAAGTTCAATACATTTGCATATTAGCTACCACTACTACTAACAATGTGTGTACTTATATACTGAACCACAAAAGAAACGTCACCCAAAGTAACATTGCATGAAAAGTTGTCATTTAAATATCTGGGTAATTTTTTTTAAAGTTTCTAAAATTGAACTTTGCCTTGTACGGAAAAAATGAAATTTGATGAAAAAAACCCCAATGCAGTTAAGAATAAAACCGATCGCCCAAACTCATCACGGCAACAGCCATGGTAACCCTATGCAAATTGAAATGCACATGCATGCGTTCCCCCATTTCTTGACCTATAAAAATCCACCCAGATCAGATAACATTCATTTGTTATTGAATTGGTACCACATGCCAAGACTGACAAGAAATCAGCGCCACAGCACCAGCATTGGCACCACAAGCAGTGGAGAAGAGTCCTCTTCTCAGACGAGAGCCGTCACTGTAACTCAACAGCAGATGGCAGAGAGAGAGAGTCTGGCGACGCCGTGGCGAACGTTATTCGGATGTTGAGAGACTCCTAGGGTGGTCCGAGCATGGTGTGGGGTGGAATTGGTCTAGCACAGAGGGTCCGCCCTGTGGTCTTCAAGTACATCGGTCCAGGTGAGTCAATGATGTCACAGCAGCTCGGTACATTGATCAAGTCGTGAGACCACACGCCATACCTCATTTGGCACGTCGCCACAATTACGAGTTTCAGCATGATAACGCCCGTGTCTACACTGCCAGAGCAACAAGAGACTTCCTCCATCAGAATGGCATCAGAACCATGCAGTGGCCTGCCCTCAGTCCCGATTTAAATACCATTGAGCACCTGTGGGACGAGATTCAAAGACGGCTGAATGACGTCCGACCAAGGCCGACAACAAGTGTGGGCTCAAGTGCCTATAGCCTTCATCAACCGCCTCATCCATTCCATGTATCGACGTTGCACGGCAGTCATCAATGCACATGGCGGACACACGAGATACTGACTTGTGCTGCCATTTTCTCAGAGACTAGTGTTGCGTTTCACTTTAAGAACATTTGACATTTTAATGTCAACCTTGATGATCAGTTTTGACAAGTTTCGTCTTGTTAATATGTCTCAAAGTATGTTTACAGTGTTTGGACAAATAAGGTTTCTCATATATCTATCCATGGTGACGTTTCTTTTGCGGTTCAGTATATTGCACTAGACTTCACACAAGCTATTTCATTAGTGGGCGTTTAGTAGTGAACAAATAATCAAAATGGAAATATCACAGTTTATTTTATTTCAATGTACACATGAATAATATATAGTCTTATTGAATATTGGCGTCAAACTTACTGGTTACTTCGCGCTGCTCTAAATGTCCTTACTAAAGGTTCAGACGCTTTGCTCCATAAACGGTTATAACCTGCATTTAATTATATAAGAATACAGTTTATCAATGCTGAAGTTATTGTATGTCAACTGTGAATGGTGAGGGTATTATTCTTAGTGCTGATAACACCTCAACCCTTTATAGAAATAGGCCATCCATGGGTTATAATACAAACATAAATCTCGCACATTGTGTAGGTCACACGCACTGCTGCTATAACTCCCCTCAACTGCTCATAACGTGCGATATATACCTCGGGCCAATACAGACGAAGTGCATGTAAATTTGCGTTATACACTTGAACTTCGATTTACGATTACCATCATGAATATAACCACGTTTGTCGATTTCGTCCTAAGAAGATTAAACTGGTATGAGTTTAATGTTTATCGTTCAAGACTAAAGTTTTGGCTTCTGAGAACCTATTGATTTATCATAAACATGTCTTTAGTGATGCAGAAAACTTTCTCAATTCTTATTTCGTACACTGAGTAAAATACTGTACATATAACATAATGAAAACTTTAAATACATCTGTAAAAATCATTTTGAAATTTGACCTGGCGACGGATATGGTTTGTACGATATCTGTGTGTACAAGTCAGCAGTTGTTGTGTTTGTTTCTGTTTATTAACAGACACCTGGTGGTTGTACATATGTAAACAATCAACGTGGTTTTCGTTTGAGGACAATTTACTGTCAGAAGTCCTTATGAATTGCTTAATAAATGTATATGTGTTTCACTCATATTTTGTGTACACAGGCCAGGTGTCTTCGTGGTATGATGTCTTAATTCCACTCATATTTTGTGTGTATACGTCAACTGACCTCTCGATATATTGTCTCAACTGCACACACATTCCTTGTGTCCACGTCCATCGTCCTGGGCCCACTTACACAAAGCAATCTTAGCACTACGACTATTGTAAGCCTATGTTAAGGTATGGGATCATCTTAGCACTAAGAACGCTTTGTGCAAGTGGGCCCTGATGATATTTTCTCTCTTAATATATTCCACATGTATTCTATGTACACAAATCAATGGTTTTAATATAATCTCTTAATTATTTCCACACATATGTGTTGGTGAACAAGTCAATAGTCCCTTAATTAATTCCACGCATATTCTATACTACACAAAAGAAGTTAAGGATCACCTGATTCTTTCATATTACTATAGTTAATCTCTCATGTCATGACAGATTAACTTTACCATTATGAAAGAATCGGGTGATCCTTAACTTCTTTTGAGTAGTATATGTGTACAAGCCAACATAACTGATGGTATTGTATCTCTTCAATATTTCCACAGATCTTCTGTGTGAACAATTTAATAGTCCTGATTGAATTTTATCTCTTAAGTTATGCCACACAAGTTCTTTGTGTACAAGTCAATAGCATTGATGGAACATTATCTCTTAATTAATCCCACACATAGTCTATGTGGACAAGCCAACAAAACTGATGGTATTGTATCTCTTCATTAATCCCACACAGATTCTGTGTGTACAAGTCCATAGAACTGATGGAATTCTATCTGTTATTTAATTCCACATATAGGCTTTCTTTACACCAGTCCAAGCGGTCCATTCCGACTCCAGCATGTATCCTGTATTCCAAGAACGTGGCACCACGCGTCCGTCAGTTGTCACACCTGAGGTGTGGCTTGATCGGCGTCCCTGGCTGCCCTGTCTCTACAAACAGGATGGAAACCTTTGAATAATCGTACTTATAAAATTGATATTTGTACATTTTGTAGTCAATGAAATTATGTTTCAATGTAATGAGATAAAAACGCACGTTCTCTTTCTGTTTAATATGCTGTCCATGAGTAACCTTTGTACATTACTCACGTTGAAAAATGTGTAATGAATGTTTACAACAGTTTTAATACTTTCAACAACAACAAAGAGTCCTTTTACCTGCAACGCACAAATAATCCAAGCAACACAAGGAGTAGAATGATGCCCAGGAAAGCGCATGTCACAAGAATGTCGTCTAGAACATATAATATACTTTACAGTTAGAGTGACATAAACTGTCTGACAAAAGTAAATATACACCTATGTTTGTTGGAGGCTTAAATGAAACCAACAAGAAATGGTTATTTGATGTTGCATTTTAGACGGGTATCATAGCTGAGCTTTGGATCTTGAATTGCAGTGTTTCGACTACTGTTTTCAGCCGAATAACGTTTTGATAACATATATAATTGTTTGGTCAAATCCGTTCAAGTGCATACATTCTTTTGCCCGGCAGTTTATATTGCTAAAACACGGGAAATGGCAATGCATCTCAATGTCAATTCTCCTCGGAATTTTTTCAATTAAAACACATGTGTAGAAAGCGTTGCCTGAAAAATGTGTTTTGCTGACTTGTCATACGGAATAATTACATGCAACATTTTACATATTTTTGAATTTACGCCGCTTTTAGCAATATTCCAGCAACATCACGGCGGGAGACACAAGAAATGGACTTCACAGATTTGACCAATGTGGAGAATCAAACCCGGGTCTTCGGCGTGACAAGCGAACGCTTGAACCATTAGGCTATCCCAACGCCCCACATATGTATGAAGAAACAAATGTTCATTATGTGATGTATATTTTGATATTACAGTGTATACGAATTTATATGGCATACATGTATACAAAATATATATGGTTTACATGTATCAATATGAACATAACAAATAAGAATACTTTACCTAGGTATGTGATGAACACACTAACGGCTTCCGTACTGGTCACGTTTGTTCCTCCAGGGGTAGTAATTGTGGACGGGCCAAGAGGAGTAGCTGTGGTATTTCCACTAGTAGATGGGACAGGCGGATCTGGAGCAGATGATGTATTTGTAGACGTTACCCCGCCTGTTGTATTTGTTGTTTTTAAACTGGTCAAATCAGATGATCGCGTGGTGGTATTGTCTGTGTTCGCCGAAACGGATAAGGTGGTCGAAGATGTGTTGGTAGTGTCAGGAGGCAAAACAGGTTTGACAGTGCTGGGTGAACCAGAGGAAGTTGCTGGAGGGGAGTCAGTAGTGTTCGACCCAGTGTCAGTACTGGTCGACACGGATGAAGATGTGGTAGGTTTTTCAGTACTGGTCGGCACTGATGAAGATGTGGTTGGTTTTTCAGTACTGGTCGGCACTGATGAAGATGTGGTTGGTTTTTCAGTACTGGTCGGCACTGATGAAGATGTCGTAGGTTTTTTAGTACTAGTCGACACAGATGAAGACGTGGTGGGTTTCTTAGTAGTAGTCGTCACTGTTGAAGATGTGGTAGGTTTTTCAGTACTGGTCGGCACTGATGAAGATGTGGTGGGTTTCTCAGTACTGGTCGGCACTGATGAAGATGTGGTAGGTTTTTCAGTGCTAGTCGGCACGAATGAAGACGTGGTGGGTTTCGCAGTACTGGTCGACACGGATGAAGACGTGGTAGGCTTGTCAGTACCCATCGGCACTGATGAAGACGTGGTGGGTTTCTCAGTGCTAGTCGGCACTGATGAAGACGTGGTGGGTTTCTCAGTACTAGTCGAAACAGAAGAAGTCGTTACAGATTCAGTGACAGGTGAGCTGGTCGTTGTCTGTGGCGTTGTCGGACTGGTTGTCGGTGGGTCAGTCAAAGGAGGAACTGTTGTAGTAGTTGTGACCTTGTCCAAAATGTCATTTATGTCTTGAGCGAGACATGTCAATTTCATTTGTCCATCTGAAAGCCATGAACATATTGAATTGAAATTACATACCAATGTGCATACACGATAGAAATACGAAAATGTCCTACCTTTAAACCTTTAAAATATGGCATATATGTTATGTACAATATATCCTCTGAGACATGACTTATATTTTAAAATATTTTATATGAAAATAGTCCCAATTTCGCTCTATGGTTCCCAAGTCTGGGGTCTACACCAGAATGATGAACCAGGAACCGTACACACATTGGCATGCAAGCGCTTTCTAGGTGTCAAATCGTCAACACCCAACAACATGGTTCGAGGTGAATGTGGGCGTTATCCATTATATCTTTATGCATGCAAAAGAGTAATTGGTTATTGGTTAAAGTTATAGGGTAAGTCTGATTGTCGCTATCCGAAGAAATGTTATTATATGATGCTTCAGGCAGAAAGTTATGGCAACATTAATTGGGTCTCAAACTGTAAATCTGTATTGTTCAACTTGGGGTTTCGCTCTGTTTGGGAAAACCAGTGCATAAGTCACCCTCATTCGTTTTTGTCAGAATTTATGTCGCATCTGAAATGTAGTCATGAACAGGAGTGGCATGGTCTTCTGGAAAAGGGTAGTAAGTCTTACTCTTATTCTCAATTCGTGGTATCGTTTGATACAGAGTTGTATCATAATTGTGATGCCGTCAATAAATTGAGAGTGGCGCTTGCTAAGTTTAGGTGTTTTTCGCATCAACTGTGTGTTGAAACTGGGAGATAATTATAAGCTAATATCCCAAGTGACAGAAGATTATGTTGTGTTTGTGATGCTGGGTATGTGTACAACGAGCATCATTTTCGTTAGCCCCGGTTATAACAAGTTACGGGTGGATCACTTACCAAAGAAATATTGTAAATATCCGACCAAACAAAAACTTAATATCATTATGTCTACAACTTATTGAAAATTAATTAAACGTCTAGCTATCTGTATCTATGAAGCGATGTCACTTCGTAGTACATTATTGTCAGAACAATAAGATCGATGGCCTACACTTACGAAATAAACGGAATTGAATTGAATTGAAAATAAAGTATTGCTTAATCTGGAGGTACCAACATAACAATATATACTTCGCAATAAGTCAAAATGAATTGAATATCAAACGTTTCAACATGAATATTCATAGTAAATATCTGACAAGACAAGCCCAAAAAGGAATCTAGTTATCGTTATGATTATTATCTACATTACGGTTATTTTACAGATTCGACTCCAGCTATGTGGATCCGGTAGCCCCAAAGGGCGATAAGTATTGATAGCTAATGGAGGAATTATCATCAGAAAATATATTTCCAGCAGCTGTGACTTAGCTCATTGACTGCCATGGTGGTCCCAGTAGAGGGATCAATGCTCGAACAATTAATCACTACTTTGGCCTGGTCCCGAATCGCTATGCAGAACGTAAAATGATACTGCAATATGTTACGAGCTGCGCCCTTCTGACTTTACTTCGTGGAAATATGAATTATCGACCGAGAGTAGACCTACTCCCACCTGTAGAGCAGATAATGATATTACACCTACAGAAAACCTGTTCAGTCTCAATTCTTCGCTAGGACCTGTCAACACGCTTTTCGCTATATCAAACCACGCGAGGATCTATCAACGCCCCCGGCCGCGTCATACCAAACGACGTTAAAAGATGTTACTTGTTGTTACCCTGTCTGGCGCTCGGCATAAAGGGGCTAAAAGGACTGGTCGGCTCGGAGTCAGTATACTGTGTCTAAGTGGGGTATTCATGTTAAACTGCGGCATGGTATCTCAATGTGTTAGCACTATAAATCGGCATCAGTCCAGGCTAGTACAAGCAGCCACACACACATACACATACATGTACGTGCATGCACGTCGCTATATAAGTGCAATAATCTTGGACGCGACGTTAAATCCCATTTAAGCTCACCTATCAACGCACTTGTTGTTATTTCAAACCACGCCAGGACCTGCCAACACACTTGTTGTTATATCAAACTTCGCGAGGATCTGTCAGCACACTTGTTGTTATATCAAACCTTACGAGGACCTGTCAACACACTTGTTATTATATCAAACCGCGCGAGGACCTGTCAACACACTGTTTATTATATCAAACCTCGCCTGTACCTGTCAACACATTAGTTATTATATCAAACCTCGCGAGGACCTGTAAACACACTTGTTATTATATCAAACCTCGCGAGGACCTGTAAACACACTTGTTATTATATCAAAACCTTACGAGGACCTCTCAACACACTTGTTATTATATCAAACCTCGCGAGGATCTGTCAACACACTTGTTGTTATATCAAACTTCGCGAGGATCCGTCAGCACACTTGTTGTTATATCAAACCTTACGAGGACCTGTCAAGATACTTGTTATTATATCAAACCGCGCGAGGACCTTTGAACACACTGTTTATTATATCAAACCTCGCGAGGACCTGTCAACACATTTGTTATTATATCAAACCTCGCGAGGACCTGTCAACACACTTGTTATTATATCAAACCTCGCGAGGATCTGTCAACACACTTGTTGTTATATCAAACCTCGCGAGGACCTGTCAAGATACTTGTTATTATATCAAACCTCGCCAGGACCTGTCAACACATTTGTTATTATATCCAACCTTACGAGGGCCTGTCAACACAATGGTTAATATATCAAACCTTACGAGGACCTGTCAACCCACTGTTTATTAATCAAACCTCGCCAGGACCTGTCAACACACTTGTTGTTATATCAAACCTTACGAAGACCTGTCAATATTCTTGTTATTATATCAAACCTCGCGTGGACCTGTCAACACACTTGTTACTATATCAAACCTAACGAGGATCCGTCAACACACTTGTTGTTATATCAAACCTTACGAGGACCTGTCAACACACTTGTTATTATATCAAACCGCGCGAGGACCTGTCAACACCCTGTTTATTATATCAAACCTCGCCTGGACCTGCCAACACATTTGTTGTTATATCAAACTTCGCGAGGATCCGTCAACACACTTGTTGTTATATCAAACCTTACGAGGACCACTCAACACACTTGTTGTTAAATCAAACCGCGCCAGGACCTGTCAACACACTGTTTATTATATCAAACCTCGCGAGGACCTGTCAACACATTTGTTATTATATCAAACCTCGCGAGGACCTGTCAACACACTTGTTATTTTATCAAACCTTACGAGGACCTGTCAACACACTTGTTATTATATCAAACCTCGCGAGGACCTGTCAATACACTTGTTATTATATCAAACTTCGCGAGGATCTGTCAACACACTTGTTGTTATATCAAACCTCGCGAGGACCTGTCAACACACTTGTTGTTATATCAAACCTTACGAGGACCTGTCAATATACTTGTTATTATATCAAACCTTGCGAGGACCTGTCAACACAATGGTTAATATATCAAACCTTACGAGGACCTGTCAACACACTGTTTATTAATCAAACCTCGCCAGGACCTGTCAACACACTTGTTATTATATCAAACCTTACGAAGACCTGTCAATATACTTGTCATTATAGCAAACCTCGCGTGGACCTGTCAACACACTTGTTACTATATCAAACCTAACGAGGGCCTGTCAACACACTTGTTGTTATATCAAACCTTACGAGGACCTGTCAACACACTTGTTATTTTATCAAACCGCGCGAGGACCTGTCAACACACTGTTTATTATATCAAACCTCGCGAGGACCTGTCAACACATTTGTTATTATATCAAACCTCGCGAGGACCTGTCAACACACTTGTTATTATATCAAACCTCGCGAGGACCTGTGAACACATAATGATGTCATATGTAAACAAGTCCTGCATTAGCGCCATGTTGTAGATATCATGTTATCAAACCAAGTCTGGGCCTGACTGTTGTAAATTCGATATAACTAGAGAACCCCTTCCCAGCCACACGTGTTGTTTCAAGCCTACATGTAGGACAGGCCTGTCCCTCCAAGCTGTTGCATTTTCAGCGTAACAGCGTTCAACCTTAGGCTACAATGACATACCAATATGTACATTGTAACTGTTACAAGAAGCCCTAATCAAGTGTTCTTTACAGATGATTTCAGACGTGTTGTTGTACCACCTAACTGATTTCTTATTATCATAAGTACATAGGTTTTACGTATCCCAAAATGAGTGTTTTTGTTCAATTAATATTGTGGAATACACGCGTCCTGTATTTGACGCTCTGTATATCACAGCATTCATCTCCATGACAACTAGTGCGTACATGTATCCTCGCCGTATTATCGCTGTAACCGTCAAAGTCGTATACTATACGTGCGCTAATGTACTGCTACTGTGTCAACGATAGTGTCCAACCTCCATGAAGGTTATACGTACCCCATTCTACTACTGCTGCCTATCATAGTGTCCATCCTACATGTAGGCTATATGTACCCCATTCTACTACTGCTGCCTATCATAGCGTCCATCCTACATGTAGGCTATACGTCCCCCATTCTACTACTGCTGCCTATCATAGTGTCCATCCTACATGTAGGCTATACGTACCCCATTCTACTACTGCTGTCTATCATAGTGTCCATCCTACATGTAGGCTATACGTCCCCCATTCTACTACTGCTGTCTATCATAGTGTCCAACCTACATGTAGGCTATATGTACCCCATTCTACTACTACTGTCTATCATAGTGTCCATCCTACATGTAGGCTATATGTACCCCATTCTACTACTGCTGTCTATCATAGTAGCCACCCTACATGTAGGCTATATGTCCCCCACTCTACTACTGCTGTCTATCATAGTGTCCAACCTACATGTAGGATATACGTACCCCACTCTACTACAGCTGTCTATCATAGTGTCCAACCTACATGTAGGCTATACGTATACCACTGTACTACTGCTGTCTATCATAGTGTCCAACCTACATGTAGGATATACGTACCCCACTCTACTACAGCTGTCTATCATAGTGTCTAACCTACATGTAGGCTATACGT